CACCATTAAATTAAGAATAATGTGTATTCTCATAATTTCTGCATTCATGAACATTTTCAGAAGCAAAGAATTTCGATTGCTCTACTGCTCTGTAACAATCAGACAAATTTTTTAATTAGTTATTATTTGACTAGCATAGAATCTTCTTGTGTTACTAGCATAAAAAATTTAATCTTGATTTTATTAAAATTATACTTGGAAAGTTATTTCAAAAGAAAATTTGCAGGAGATTGAGCAAAAAATTTTATGTGAGGACAACAATACACAATTTAAGCAAATTCGTGTTGAAACAAATTTTGCTAATATCCATACCGATATCTAGCTTTGAAAAAAAAAAATTTATGGATTATCATCCTAATGAGAGGAATAGTATTTGGAGGCTATAATTCTGAATTATAACAAATGATTTTAAAAAAAATTTAAAACCGCCCATGCTGGTCCTAAGCACAGTTGAAAAAGGTTGAGTTTTTTTTACTTCAATGATTTGTGCCCCCACAAAAAAAAAAAAAAAATCCTGGCTCCGCCCTGTCAATAATACTTGAGCATCCTTCTCAGGTGTATTTTGGGAACTTTTATTTGGTCTGGTCACAGGATGTAGCTCTACGTTCAGCCGCCAGTAGAATCGCGCCACACGTTCTCACTATTTACCGCGCGCCCCGACAACCCGACCTGGAACGTATCCAGGATGGCTCGGTATTTCTCGATTTTGCTAGGTATTGCTAGGTATTGGTCGATTTTGCTCGGCAATAACCAATATCGAGCAAATACCAAGCAATACCGAGCAAATACCGAGCAACACCGAGTTTTTCTGGAAAAACTCGGTACAACTCGGTATTGCTCGGTATTGGTCTTCACAAAGCGGTATTTTTCGGTATTGCCAAGCAATACCTAGCAATACCGAGCAAATACCGAGTAATACCTTGCAATACGCGAACATAACATTCCCGGGTTCCGGTCCAGGTCAAGTCATTGGGCCGCGCGGTAAAGAGTAAGAGCACGTGGCGACATGTTATTGGCGGCCGAACGTAGCTCTACGTTCGGTCAGAGGACGTAATAATTGTTCGTATTTTGGGCTTAAGAAAAATCGGGGCATATTTATTGAGAAGTGAAATACTAAGTTTACTAATTTGGTAATCATGGGACATATAAAGTTAAATATTTTTTTTTTAATTTTTTTTAAATAAAATAAAAAATAAAGATAAAAATTATCCAGACAGCACAATCCAGACCATGACCGAGCGGGTTCAGTCCCTCGTCACTCAGTCGCATTTAATAAATCGACCTTCAAACAGAATATTCTTGTCAAGCCAATAAAACGGCTGAGCCAATCCTTCCGTTGTGGCTAATTTTGAAATTTAAAAAAAACAGCAGCTCGCCGCTCACTCTCAAAAATTTTCTTGGGCAAGCTCATCGACGAAACTCGGCACTTGATTGCATTTCTTCTTCGATTCTTCCTAGGCGCAATCCCTTCCTCGTCCGTATAGGTTTGCTTTTCATCTTCTCCATTTCTTCGGTGCCCCGTGAAGTAGCGTTTTGAAGGGCTTCTGCTTCGTGTGAAGTAGTGTTTTGAAAGACTCGCTAAAGAAGCGTCTTCGCCTCCTTCGACGGGAGTCGGATCGGAAGTCAGAACGGGAGCTCGCTCGCTGCAAAGGTAACCGTCGTTATTTCCCGTAGATCTGCCAATGCTCCTTCGCTCCTTCGACGACGTTACCTTCATATCGGATTTGAAACCACACCTCCTTGCCGTCCTCTGTTGGTTTGGAAGTAAGCACGACTAGGGGAGCTTGCTCTTGCTCGTTGCCAAGGTAGCCATCTTTCTTTCTTTCGCGCGCTTCTTCTTCAGCCAAATCCTAATCCGCCGAACGAAGGGATTTGGATTTAGGCGGATTAAATCCGGATTTAGGCAGGCATCGAATTAAGCGACCTCAAAAAACCGTATGGCTGGATTTAGCGTAAATCCGACTTAAATCCCGCTGTAAATCCGATACCAAACAGCCCCTTAGTAAATCTGGGATTTATGCCAAAAATCGGGCAACGGCAGATTTCTCTCTGGGTGACATTTAAGTGGTTCTCAAATCCCATTTGACAGGATTTATGCTAAATCCTGCTCAATTCTTGCATAAATCCCGTTTCCAAACAGCTCCTAGAGGTTTAGCATTGAAGGTTTCTTGAGAGAAAGGTCGTTTATAAGAACATTTTCTCTTTGATTTGATAATATTTTTCTACACCTAGTTTTTTTTTTCATATCATTTTTAGATCCAAGAAATTTGTAGGGAAGATTGTCTGAGGAATGTGCATTTTCTATGCTATCACATTCAATTTTTTCACTTCATGAACGTATTTTCTAGATCTAGACATTTGTGGTTCTGTTTTCTCCTCGTCCATTGAAACCTAGTGATTTTACAGCTATATACAGTATTATGATATGAGGAGGCTTAAATTTTTTCTGATGGAAGTTCATCTACCTTGTTTCTAGCTTGCGTCTGACGCTTTTGGTCTGCAGCTCCATCTTCCGTGGCCTTCTCTCGTACCATCAATATCTGCCATAAATGTATATGATGATGAAGTACTTGCTTGCTGATTTTTGTGGTGTATGAAACTTTATATGCAGGTGTCTTATAATGGAATTGCACGCACAATACAGTTTAGGATATTACTGGTCGTATGACTTGTTTAAGTTAAAAATAAATTTAATCATTGGAGCATCAGTCGAAACTTTGGCTCCCTTTTGATTTGCCCACACTAACACTTGAATCATCTCCTATATGCTTGAAAATCTTAAAGAATTAATAGATGGGAAAATGCTAATCCTTGCAAAAAAACATTAAAGTGGCATGAAGTTTATTTCAGGTAATGAGAGAATTTTCAATGAAGTTTATTTTTCGCCATTTCGGGTAATGAGAGAGTTATGGAATAAATTATAATAATAGATGCCCCTTTAAACAGTTCACCAAATTTTATTGTTCATTCTTTCTATTGTTTATCTCCTTGAGATGAATGAGGTCCTTTTGTAATCCATGGACAAGTCGTGGTAATGAGGGTGGCATTTGATATCAAAATGAAGAGGAAGCCTTCCCTTTACCAAGAAGGTGGGGATGGTGATTTGGAAGTTTAACAATGCCATACTTTACCAAAGATTGACATGGCAGATTGTGTTGATGGTGGGTTGTCCTTTTATGGAGTTCTCTTGGATATAACTTGTGATTAATGCCCCCAGGGCACTGACGAAACATGATTATTAGATTTAAGTTTTATTTTAACCTAATTAGTATTTATTTAAGTATTATTATACTTTTTCATTTTAATTTGTAAATTTTAATTGCTATTTGATTTCTATATAATAAGTCAAAACACTATTTTATATAGAACTTTTACTTAAGATTTTGATTAATGAATTATTTTATATATTGAATTTTCTTGCTAAATTTGTTATCAATTGTCTCTTCTCATCTTTTTTTTTTCTCTTAATTATCTATTCTATCTCTTCTTTAATCTCTTACTATTTACATCATCAATGATTTTAATGTCTTGCTCTTCATGTCATATTCTACACCACCCATTGTATTTGCTTAACCCTCAATGACAAGATTCTTTTGAACTCCACCTTAACATCATTGGTCATGTACCTATGTCATCAAACCCCCTCTGTAATGATCACATTTTGATTGCGTAATCGAACCGCTCATCGTGAGCCTACTTGTATTGTTCACATGTACTACATCTCTTTTTGACCTAGGCTTGTTGGTCTTGCCATTTCATCGTGCTTTTTTCCCCGCATCATTATGGCTTACTTGCACCATATTTATGTGGGTCCATTGATTTATTCCAATTGGTTAATTCTCCTATAGAGCAGTTGATCAATGACATTAGTTTAACTTAACTTTCAAAATTTTCCTTGAAGGCTTAAAAGATGCTCTAACTGTGGGTGCTAAATGATCCTGAATTCGGCTATTAAGTGAATGTTATATCATTCTATTTGAGTTGTTATCTAGGTCAATTTTCTAGAAGGCATAATGAATTTTTAGATAATTCACTACCTATAAAATTGACCATCAAATAAGAACTTCCTGATATGATTCGAGTTTTTCTTACATGCACATGCATCTATGGTTAATTAACCCTTCCAATCACAAAAGAGGACTTTGATAGTTGATAGGCTCTACGATGCTTTGTTTTAATAGTGTAACATTTTAATTTGGGGAGAAGAATATAATATCATTAGCTAGGAGCTGATAAGAGAATGATAATAAGCTCAATCAAGATCCAATGATTTCATCTTCTTAGGTTATTATGCACCTTGAACTGTTTAAGTAGTGAAGGGTATTTGATCCAACACAATTGAAGAATCATTTTTAGTAATCATGGGTTGAATCTTCAAAAGGAATTGTGTAAACTTGGGGTAAAAACATATTGAGGGGGCTAACCAATTTTGAGTTGATTTTAACTTGCAGAGGGTTTTATGTCATATTAAGTGCACCTTATGGCTTACAACTTGTAAACTTAGGCATTAAGAAATATTCATGCTTAGACCATAATTGTAATATAGTTATGCCATCATAATTGGGCTAGCCCCTCTGTCAGAGGTCATATGCAATGTTTTTATTAGTGATAGATTTTTTTAGATGTGATCATATGGACGGACTTTTCATAGCATTGATTTTTTGTATTGGTTAAACTTAAATTTGTCAACTGATGGAGAATAGATGGGTGACTACCCTAAGCATAATTTATTCACTTAATGCCTGGATTTTTTTAATTTGTTCAGTTCTTTAGTATACTTCTGAAAAATACAGTTTGGTTTAACAGTTAATCTGGAAAACCATAAAGCATAACTTGTTGCTTCTTGTTCCAACAGCAAGGAATGCATAACTCAATACATCTCTTTCGCAATTGTTTTCTTAATTTAACTTCCTGGTTTTTTCTACAAGATGCCACCTTTTATTCGGAAACAATACCAACTTCTAATTAATTAATTATTTATTTATCATCAGGGAGGGCTAGTCATCTGCTTACAATCTTAAATTTTCCTTTCCCCTAAAAGAGATGACATCTGTGACACCTAGTACTCCGGCTTCTAAGATTGAAAAAACTCCAGTGTCTACTCCTGGAGGTTCGAGGGGCAGGAAGGAGAACATTTTGGTAACTGTACGTTTGAGGCCCCTTAGCAAAAAAGAGCAATCCCTAAAAGATCAAGTTGCCTGGGAATGCATTGATGACAATACAATTGTCTTGAAGCCATTATCACATGATCGATCTAGTTCATCAGTTCAATATACTTTTGGTATGGAGCATATTTTGGATCAGTTAGTTCTTGTACTCGACACTTGGGTTATTTTACTGTTGGTACTATTTATTGGTTATAGTTTATCATAGGAGACTCAAGCAGATGCTAATTGTTAGATGGGTTATTTCTCTTTCTTCTTTCAGACAAAATATTTGGTCCTACATGCCCATCTGAAGTTGTGTATGAAGAAGGAGCTAAGGAAGTTTCCATGTCAGCATTGAGAGGAATCAATGGTATTACCTGAACTGAATATTTACCTTTACTTGTTAGTTTCTTTTGAATATATTCACATAAAACTATTCACTAATCCATATGTATGCTCTCATAGATACATGAGTCGTTTAAAATGCATTAAGTGGATTAACTGTTGAATTAATTGCTATAACTTGTTCCTGTATTCTATGTAGCTACTATTTTTGCTTATGGACAGACAAGTAGTGGTAAAACATACACCATGAGGGCGATAACCGAGAGTGCCGTTAATGACATCTACAAACATATAGAAAATGTAAGCTTCACTGCCAAATTGTGCCCCCATTGCTAATTGTATCTTTCATAATTATGAAATTTGCTGTTTTGAACGCTTTGTTCTGAATGTTTTATATTTAGAACTCAGATAGGGAATTTATTATCAAAATCTCTGCATTGGAGATTTATAACGAGGTTGTGAGAGACCTGCTAAAGCCTGATTCTGGGCCTTTAAGGCTTTTAGATGACCCTGAGGTAAATATCCAAATCTTTATGATAATATCAATTAAGTTGGAAATTCGCTCATCTTCATGTTGAATATTTCTTTAAATTTTGTCCACATAACAGCTCTTTTTTTCCATTTTTTTTTAAATTTCAGAAAGGAACCATCGTTGAGAAACTAGAGGAAGAAACTGCAAGAAACATAGAGCATTTACGGCAGCTCATTGGCATTTGTGAAGGTAATTCTTTGAAGATCTTGGCAAAAAGAAAGCATGCTTATATTTCTTGCTTATATTTCTTGACACTTTTTCCATATTTCACCTCTGAAATAAATCAATCATTTTTTTTTATCATGTTGTACAGCTCAGAGGCAGGTTGGCGAAACTTCCTTGAATGATGCTAGCTCAAGATCTCACCAAATAATCAGGCTGGTAATCTCAATGTTGTGTTATGTTTTACTTGGTGATATATGTCAGTTACTATTGCATTGGCACTTGCAGACAATTGAAAGCAGCCTCCGTGAAAATTCTAGTTGTGTAAAGTCTTACGTTGCCAATTTGGTTAGTATGTCGATTTCAGCTATTTTTTGAACCATTTTCATTTTCTTATTAGATTTAACGTGCTTACTATTAGATTCTCGCAGAACTTCGTAGATCTTGCTGGTAGTGAGCGGGCATCTCAAACTAATGCTGAGGGTACTAGGCTGAAAGAAGGTTGCCATATAAATCTTAGCTTGCTGACTCTGACAACCGTTATCAGAAAACTGAGGTCAGGGATTTACATGTATATCTTTGATTTTGAAGTTAAACCATGATTATTCAACCATAATTGAAAATTTACAATTTAATTATTTTAATTTTCTATCTTTTTTTGTTTTGTTCTATTTGGAGCTGAAGGTAAGTTGAAGATTTTCTTTTTTTTTTTCAGCAATTTATAGTAATTGTAATATTAAAAGAAAGCACTTGAGATTCGCTATTGTTATGTTCTAAGTCATATCCAATAGGCTTCGTTTAGGATGGCTTTCTCACTGCTTCTTAAAGTAAATTTTTAGTATAAAATTAAATTTTTTTTATTAAAAAACTGCTTTAAGAAGCAAGGATAAAACGAAATGTAATAGGCCCACCAAACTATTTTTCAGGTTAGCACTATCTTTTTTGTTGAAACAATATAACTATACAACCAACTTGACTATATTTTTGTATTGGTAATTTTCAAGAGAAAAGCAATGATACCGTAGAATTATTTTGTAATTTTGTGTGTTGAAAGTACAGTTTTGTCACTATCCACAACAGTGTTGCCTGTAGTATTGCAGTTGTCGTAGTGGCATTACTATAACAAAGCTATTGTTCCAACTATATATTATGGTTTAAGTTATTTGATTTATTTTATGTTTTGGTTTTATGTTAATTTTTCCCTTTATTTTTCAATATTATTAGTATGCTATATCAATATCTATTTTTGTTAGGGTTGAGTACTGGTTGTATAAAGCTCTTTGATGGACTTGTTTTTCTTGAAATTTATTAAGTTATGTGAGATTTTGGGTTTAGTCCTCGTGGGTTAGTTGAAAATATGATTGTTGTAAAAATATAAGTTGTTGGCTCTGGTCTATAGTTAAAAAAGAGTTTAACCATTGATATATGTTAGCTATCTTTGCTCCATCTTTGGTTCAATCCCTATCAAGCGAAGTTGAAGTTGATGGATTAGTTGCGTTTGAATGGTTCATGTTTTTGTGGGTTTCATGGACCTTTTATGTTTTCAGTCATGGTTGAACAAAATTCGAGAGTAGGTGATTCATATGGTGCCTCCACATAAGTATGCTTTCGATGTATGATACTTGATAAACTTTTGCGTGAGGGAATTGATGGCTGATGTGGAGAGCTCTCATGTATGAGGAAGATTGTTAAGGTACATGAGGCTTTTGATTTGGTTTGATACCAGATAGTTGAATTTATTGGTGTGGAAAATAATAATGGGCTAACACTCACCCGTAGGATAAAGTTTTTAGGTTAAAAATAGGCTTAATCACGGGTGTGATTGGCCAACTTTGACTCTTTAACTTAAAAGTCTGGCTTCTTTTCCAATGAGAACTTATGCATGGACTAAAGAATTGTAAATGAATTCGTTATTTTCAAAATTTTCTTGATGAAAATGCCCTAGTCAGTTGATTTACACCTCATTTTTGTTAGTTTAATAGTACTCGAAGTATTCGTCTATTTGCATTGTTTTTTCCCCCTTCTTCCCCTGGATACATATTTATGCACTATGAAATGGGTCTCACGTGAACTTTTCTGTTTTCTTCTCATCAAAACCACGCATTACATTTTTGTTACTTTCTTTGTTCTTAATTTCGAAGAATAACAATTTTTTGTGCATCCTACAGTTGGATCTTGACATTGTCTATTTTATGGCTTGCAGCGATGGAAAAAAATCTGGCCATGTACCATACAGGCAGTCCAAGTTAACACGTATCCTGCAACTATCTCTTGGAGGGAATGCAAGGACGGCAATAATATGTACAATGAGTCCTGCACTTAGCCATGTTGAGCAATCTCGCATCACACTCTCCTTTGCTTCCTGTGCAAAGGAAGTTATGACCACAGCACAAGTTAATATGGTAAGCACGCGATATGATATTTTTGCTTTGCAATCATTTTTCTCGATCCATATTCAAATTGTTTTCTTGTCCATTAATCAGCTGGTGTTAGTTAATCAGGTTGTGTCAGAAAAGCAGTTGGTTAAGCAGCTGCAGAAGGAGGTAGCCAGACTTGAAGCAGAACTGCGCACTCCAGAACATTCTGCACCCTCAAATTCTGAAGCCATCCTAATGGAGAAGGAAATCCAAATCAAGAAGGTGTGAAGGAACACAAATCAGCTTATATTTATACGCTTTTGCTGTTTTTCAAATTGGATTGGATTCTGTAAATTTTATTAGCTTCAGCTTGTTTCTAAAGGTCATGTCACTGTTATGTGGTTCTATGGGCTGAAAATTATTACGTGCAGCATCCGGATTCGTCTGGAGGTAAATCCGGACACGCTACGTCATCCGGGCCAATGCATTCGGGTGACGTGGTGAATCCGGGCGAATCCGAACACCGCACGTAATAGTCTCTCCCAATGGGCAGGCTTAATTTATCATTTATAAGGTAATCGTTTTCGTTTTTTATTGACAGATGGAAATGGAAATGGAAGAGTTGAAGCGGGAAAGAGATATTGCGATGTGCCAATTAGATGAACTTCGAAGAAAAATGGGGCAAGATCAATGTGCCAGCAATGTAATGTTGCATTCCTATTTTGGTCATCATTTTTTTAGTTGCTCTTTCTCTGCTACCCTACATCACATGACTTCTGTATGAATTGTAGGGGCGGCATCCACTTGAATCGTCACCTCGCCGGGTTGCTAAATGTTTAACCTTTTCCGGTCAATCAAGAAACCCTTTGAGGCAGTCATCGACTGCGCCATCCATGCTTGTCCATGAAATCCGTAAGCTTGAGCAGTTACAGGTCCAACTTGGTGAGGAAGCCAACAGAGCTTTGGAAGTCTTGCAGAAAGAGGTGGCCTGTCATAGGCTTGGGAACCAAGATGCTGCCGAGACCATTGCGAAACTCCAAGCTGAAATAAAGGAGGTGAGGGCTATTAGATCTCTAACAACAATAGTTGACATCAGAGACATGGCCAGCAACCCGAAGGCCGGCGCCAATCTGAAAGAAGAGATTACTAGACTACATTCACAGGGAAATACAATTGCAAATCTTGAGGAGCGGCTAGAAAATGTCCAGAAATCATTAGACAAGCTAGTTATGTCTCTGCCAAACATCAATTTTAGCAGCGAGGGCACTCCAAAACCACCCAAAACTACATCTAAGAGGCGGAAGATGCTTCCATTGACTTCTAGTGGCAATGCGAATCGATCACATTTCATAAGAACCCCTTGTTCTCCTCTCTCATCATCTTCTAGAAAGGTGCTGGAGTCTGATATCGAAAACAAGGCTCCAGAGAATGATTTCATGTCCAATGAAAATTTTTCTGGTTCTGAAATTGCCACACCATCTAAGAGTGAAGATGGAGGAGATATCTCATCAAGAGAAGGCACACCAGGCTGTCGGCGTTCCAGTTCTGTGAATATGAAAAAAATGCAGAAGATGTTCCAGAATGCTGCGGAGGAGAATGTAAGGAGTATAAAAGCTTATGTCACAGAACTTAAAGAAAGAGTTGCAAAACTGCAATACCAGAAGCAGCTTCTTGTTTGCCAGGTTTGTTCTCTTCTCGATGGAAAGCTATTTTAGCTATTACTTGTATAGTACATCAGAATATATGCTTTTAATGTTATTAGGTTCTGGAACTGGAAGCAAATGAAGCTGCTGGTTACACTTTAGATGCTGATGATGAGAATGTTGCCGAGCTTCATAACTCACCAGACACTTGGCACCTCATTTTCCATGAGCAAATTCAGCTTATCATTCAATTATGGCATATTTGCCATGTATCAATAATTCATAGGACACAATTTTACTTGCTATTCAGAGGTGATCAAGCAGACAAGATTTATATCGAGGTGGAGCTTCGACGACTGAATTGGCTGAAAGAGCACTTTGCATCTGTTGGCAATGCTAGTTCTGCACATTCTGGAGATGATTCTTCCGTTTCTCTATGTTCAAAGTGAGATCAGATTCTAATACTTTCACCCTTTTCTGAAGTCAAATTTGTACTAATCCTATTACTTATCTGTATTCAGCATCAAGGCACTGAAGCATGAGAGAGAATTCCTTTCTAAAAGAATGAATTCTAGACTGACAGAGGAGGAGCGTGAGAGGCTGTATATAAAATGGCAAGTACCCTTGGAAGGAAAGCAGAGGAAGCTTCAGCTTGTGAACAAGCTCTGGACAGATACAAGTGACAGGACACATATTGAGGAAAGCGCAGATATCGTGGCCAGGTTGGTTGGGTTCTGCGAAGGTGAAAGTGTCACTAAAGAAATGTTTGAACTCAACTTTGCCTTGCCAGAGAACAAGAAGCCATGGCTGCTTGGTTGGGAGCCTATTTCAAACTTTTTGAAACTGTGATTGAGAGTTGGGTAAGTACATTGAAGCCATCTAAAGGTCAGTGGATGCTTTGCGCTTGCCTGCTTCTTGGAGCATAAATGAAGAACATTAAAGGTATCGCTGTAATCAACAATGATAAATCTCCTGCAGTTTTTACTAGCTGCTGACCTTGTGAAGTTATCGTGGATTTGGTTCTAGAAATATAATTTCTTTTGATGTAGAAAACTTTGTCAGTAATGCCTGTAATCATCAAGTTTTATTATTTGTTCTTTATTTGTTTGTAGTGGTATTGCATTGCTTCTTTTTGTTAAATCAAGACCCAACCGATAAAATGAAAGGAGGAATGTGAGAAAAAGAGCTTTGAGTGGATTTTCATTACATTCAATCATGAAATTCTTATTTATAATAAGGTTTAACAATCTGGAGAGGTTATTCTATGCGGACACCGGATGGGAACAATCATCCGGTTTTATGTCTATGAATAGTAAAAGCACATTGAACTGTGCTTTTATTGTTCACAAAGACAAAATCGAGCGGTTCTCCCATCCGGTGTCCGTACAGAATAATTCATCAACAATCTGTGTACAATCTTGAAAATTTCAAAATCATATTGCTATGAAGTTTATAACATTGGGCTATTGCTATACAATAGTGTTAGTATTACGTAACATATGGTTATTGCTATATAATATAATGTTATTACTATAAAGAGAATTGTTATGGCAATATAGCTTATTATTGTTGATTTATAGTCTTTATAATTTTATAATATCTAATTATTATTACATAACTTCTAGTTATCCCAATGTAGCATCTAATTATTGCAATATAGCATATGATTATGTTTGCATAGCACATCCACACACACCCCAATACATGCGTATATATATATATATATATATATATATATATAGTGCGTCGCACAAAATTATATATTTTTTTAATGAGTGCAAAAATCAATAAGTTTCTGCATAAACATAATTTTTTATTGAAGATATTCAATAATGTATAATTCTTGAGCTAAGATATTTTATGAACTTTTTTTTTCTTTAGGGCTAAATTAATACTTCAGTTTTAAGTAAAGAATCACTTATTATATATAATCCTTGGGTTGGAAGAACTCAATGATATCAATTAGAAATGCTTACAAGCACAATAATAATGACTTTTGTTATATAGATCACATATGGCTTAAGCCCACCATGATAAACCAATTCACTCTAGGATGTTTAGTTGTAGAATAAGTATATGAAGGAGGCTCTTATTAATTGATATAATGTACAAGTAAATGTTTCATATTGCCTTTATACTGAGGTTCTTTGAAGAAATATTATGGTTCAACACCACACTGATGACAAGATTATTAGAGTAATTTTCATTAGATTTTTGATAGTGCATTAAATGCTCTACAACCAATTTAAGTCTTTAAAAGAGTTCTTCCTTGTAGATGTTGAAGATGATTTTTCTAAGTCATGTTCAATAGAACCTAAAAACTATCTTAAATTTATTTTCCTCGGGACATAGTTCCTTGGTTATGATGAACAAAACCTAAAAAATTACCTTAAATTTATTTTCCTCGGTATTACATCATTTTGTTCATCGATTCTCAGGTCAACATTTGATCAATTATAAACTTCTCATTCAAAGTTTCACTTCCCTTGGGTAGTCATTTACTTTTGCCTTTTTACATAGCATTCATTCATCCCAATATCAATTTAAGCATCCTTTGACAACTTTGAAATATGTATGTTAGCCTTTTAAATCTTTTAGGTAACCTTGAAATCCATAGTTTTTGCCTTGAAACCAATTCACCAACTGCCCCTTCTTTTAGGTATGTAGTATACTTGAAGGGATTTCTTTAGCAAGACTCTATACACTCATATTTAATTCAAGATATTAGGTAGGGCCGTAGGGGAAGATCTCAGAGAATATAAACCAAAAATAATTTTCTTAAAACCTATTTTTGTGATTGAGTCTATAGTGAAATATTTTATTTTTTAAGGTAAACTCTTATTTTCTATATCATACTCAATAACAAAAATAATATTTGCAATTTAATAATTAAACTTTTTCACATATTTTTTTTGATAATTTTTCTCGAGAGGCTATCTCTTTCCATCTAAAATAATTGATAATATTTTTATATTTTTGTAACTCATGTCCCTCATAGGTGTATGCTACTTTTTCTCCCTATTAGAATCTACACTCATTTCAATATTGTGTACTTCATTTATCCATCTGAAGCAAGGATATGGAGAAGAGACCTTAGTAGTACTCTACTTAGAAACCAGTTCATGAAATCAATATGCCTTATAGCTAGGGAAGGATTTCATCATACTAATAGTAGGAAGAGACTATAGAGACATCCTTAAAAACACTACGCTCCTTGAGTCTCTGTCTTCCCTCGGTTGACCCAACTTAAAGCCCAAAAGCCAATGAGAGACAATCAATGACAGTGCCTAAAAAGCCTCTCAAGTTTTTGTGATACTCATCTATTATATATCTTTATCCCTTTTTTATTTCTTCAACACGGGCAAAATAACTTAATTATGTGTGATCTTAGATATCTCCTATGAGATGTAATTAATTTCAAGAGCTTATTGTTTTACGGATTCAATATCTTCTACCTCTACAATAAAATCTACATTGAATATCTAATTTGTTTAGAGGAAAATCTATGGTATACATATTGATATGCATTCTATTAATTACTATTGATCTATAGAACATTGGTCCTTGATTAGTACTCTATTATAATTTGCAGGTAATTCCAACCCGAACGAGCACATGTTTATGCATATGATACTTTTAATGTTACTAAAATGTCTTGATTGTTAATTTGACTTAAAAGATTGCATATAAGTGTTACAAAAAAGATCATAATCTTAAAATATTCATAATAAATGAAATAAAGTTGGGATCTTTAATTCAATGATTATTAGTATGGTTCATCTCCATTTTGAATGGAATTATCTTATTTTGATTTGTAATGTGCGAGTTATAAGGATGAAATTAGTAGTTTATATAATAAGATCATGTATATATAACTAGAATGAGATTAATTTAAATTTTTGATAATTTTATTGTAATATAGAATATTAAATTATATCACTATGATGCTCATATATGGAATAATTGTAATCCCAAATAATCAATAAACTAATATTTATAAAGCTATTTTCTTTGATTTATTATGAACAAATTCAAGAGTTATATTTTCCTCATATTTTAGTAATATAATAAATCAATAGCTATGAATATTAATTTATAACATGGAAATTTTATTTTATAAAGACAAAATTAATTCTCTTAAGTGTTATTTTAGTGTTGAATAATAAGAGCTTTCAAGTTATGATTAGATCATAAATTTATTATTAATTAAAAATCAATGATACTTAACCTAGCTTTAATCAAACTATTCATTGATCATCAATCTATATGCAATGAGTATATCAATGGACTATTTACATTTTTAAAAATTTATTTCTATAATTTTAAGAGTGAATTTTAATTTTTTTTTTTAGTAAAGTAACTCTATAATCAATGAAATTGATATGAATATTAAATAAGGTTATTAATTATTAATTATTTTGAAGATTGGATTTATAGGTTCATAGTTTCTCATGACATTTATGATCTTCATTTGGACACTAAGTGATCAATGAGATAAAATTTTGAAACTTTTAATGATGAAATTCTAACTTATTGCTAATGATATAAATTTAGATAAGATATTGTTTTATTATTGTTATTTGATCTCTGATTTTCCTATGAAGTAAGCAATTAATTTTGATTCCCAACTATACACTCTAAATGGATGTTTGTTAATCAAATATTTATTTTGAATTAAAAAAAATTAATGTAGATGAATTTTCTTAGGAAACAAATTTCCTCTTCCAAAATTTTTTAGCAAAGGGAAGTTAGTTAGCATGTTGATTAGTTATTATAAGTTAAGATGTTATAACATATATTAATTAATCATTATAAGTTAGTTCACATATGTTAATTAACTTAAATAAAAAGACATGCCTTATCCAATCATCAGTTGATGTTTTAGTTAGAAATCTTATCAATTATTAAAAGAATTTGGGCTTTTGTTATATTCAAGGGTTTATTGCTTGAAAATACAAATGTTTTATTTTTTTTGTAATTTTTAGGAGAGAAGCCCTTTAAAAAAGAAAAATAAAATTCTTTCAATAATTATTGTACTACAACACTATTTTTCTAAGTTTAGATAATTTTCTATTTAATAAAAATCCTACAATTATCGAAACCTTAGTTATAAAATTTTCAGAAAATATTCAAAATATGCATAATTGTAATATCTATAACATATAAAAAGTGATGAGGTAAAAGTTTTATCAGTGTAATGTTATCCCCATTTTTCGTTAATGGAAATAAAATTTTAATAAAAAAATTTAATAAAAATTGCATATTTTTTAAATTGAGTTAGGCGTATTGTGACCTACCTCTAGACGAACATTTTCCCCAACTAAGCCGATCGATGAAAATGAATCAAAGCCGCCCAAAATTGGATTATCTTGTTCTCTCTCATCTCTTTCTTCTCTAATTTCTTCTTCTAGCCCTCTGGTAACTAAAATGAGTAGGGAAAATTATTTTTAAAATGCCTTACGTGGAGTTAGATATTATATTTAAATATTAAATACTCATTCTAATTATTTAATATTAGAATATTAAATTCATTTATTTTTTTATATAGATCTACAACAATATGATGAAATCGGTTTGCAAAATGGATGCCTAACGGTCCGAAAATTCTCACAAGTGTTAATTTCTTAAGAAATTTCACCAGTGCCCAAAAATTAAGAAAAAAATCGGATAATTAAAGCATTACACTATATATCTTCTAGCGAAGAGGGATTGTGCTTTGGACTTAGATTGGATCTTGAAATAATTTTTAACTGTTATAGATCAAAAAAAATTATCCCCTATGATGCATCCGATCCCTTATGGGTCAATGAGTTTCCATGGAATTTCATTTCTTTGGCTTATTTATGATTGTTTGGGATTCCTCTATTACTCATTATCATACTCTCAAGAATTTTTTTGCTTTACTTGGTCTACCTCCATTATATTTGTAGCATGTCTTGCTAGTCATCTACAATGGATGCCACCATATTTCATTTGGCTTTTATTGTTCTCACTGTTCTCACATCAGTATGGGGTCACATCTTGACAAATCATCTACCTAGGTCCTAGTTAGCCTCTCTCCCATCTTGGTTGGGCTATCCTTAAGTCATACTTTCATCATCTAGGCTGTTCTTCTTAGTATAGGACATTCTAATCATTCTCTCCCTGTGGGAGGCTATTCAACCTCCCGTCCACCTCTTTTTTCCTTACTCTAATGAGTGGTATAAGTATTTTATATTGAAGATATTATCATCTTTTGGATTGCCCATTCATATCATGAATTATCATTGTCGGTCATTCACAGCAATCTTATCAAATATTTTACTTCCACAAAATTTAACAGCTACTTAATTTTCAAAACCAACCATTCCAACACTAACATAATATTCTAACATATCGAGTTTAGCTTGGAAAATCTATATCCTTAGATAGGTTTTCTCTTTTCATTACGTTACACACCAATATTTATTATATGATAACAAATTATAGGCAAAATTTTAAAAAGGAGTATAAAAAATATTTTCATATGACCTTTTTTTTTTCAAAAATTAAAACAAATCATATCACCTATTAAATGATTTATTAGTATTCAACTCATAAAACTCTATAAAAAGACTTAAGACTTCATTCATAATTAGCTCAATAGTTTATGAATAGTGCCAAAGAAAACTCTCACTCATTCACATTCAATGCATTTAAACATTTACTATATGGGCTTTAGTGTATGATACAATATAAAATTGAAGAGCTTTCCTGTGAAGGAAAGAGATGCACAACATGGAGAGATCTAAAAGAAGGGAGATAGATCTGTTAACACTAATAAGAGTATTAAATTTAGTCCTTCATTAATTATATAATAATACAAGTGGTTAAACTCTGACCTACCTTCTTAAATGTTCCCATAATATATGTATTAGAATTAAATTTTATACTACTTTGATGCACATTCTTGACATGATCAACCTTTCATTTTTTTTTTATTGAATGACTTTACAAAGATTATTGCATTATGGCACGCATGATTTAGTTCAGCTCAATTTTATTTTAAATTTATCATAATTAATCTCAAATGTAAAGAAGATAAACTAATAGCCTCTTGTATCAGGCTAAAAAAAATTAAATTAAGATTTCATTTGAGATAACTTTTTTTTTTTTTGTTTTATTTTTAAGATCACAATCATAATATTCATTTGGTTACTGTACTTTCTAAGGCTTTTAAAATCGGATTGGACTGACCGGTTCAACCAATGACCGGTTAGCAGGTCGATTATGGTTCACTTTAAAACCGGTATTGCACAAAGCCGGTATTAACCGCTTGAACTGATGGTTAGATCGCCGAACCGGTCTCGGTTCCCGATAACCATCCGATTCAACTACAAGGCTGTTTAGTGAAGATCCGACAACTGAGATTAACGAAGGTGAAGCTTATACGATAGAGAAAAAAAAACCCTACAATTCATTCCTATTCGGTGTATCTTCTTCCCGTCTCGGCATCTTCTACTCGTTCACGAAGCAAGAAGCCAACACCATCTCCTACAGTCCTTCTCGTTTGCAAAGCCAGAAGCCAACACTGTCTCCTGCAGTCCTGCTCATTCACAAAGCCAGAAGCCAACACCATCTTGTGCTTGTTCACTTGTGAAATGATTGAAACTATTGAATTGAGAAAGTGAAACATAGTTAACTTCATCTCCTTATCATAAATATATTTTCTTTTTGCTATTAGGGTTTAGGGTATAAAGTGTTAAAATATTTTTATGATTGGTTGTGTCAGAAATATATTATTATGTTTTTATTATTTACTTTATATAATGTTATTTTTTTAATGCTTCATATTATGATTAAGTTCAATTTTTGTTATATATTTACAAATAGTTATATCATTATTATAATATTTAAATATATTAAGTATTTATTACGTCGTCCAATTCAACCTCGGTTTGACTCCGGTCGAACCATCGAATCGCTAATCTCTCATTCTTCCAGTTTATTATCCAATACGCTTTTAAAGCCTTTGTATTTTCACTATTTTTAATATATTTTTATATTAGGACTCATGCTTTCTACACTACATTTCTAAAAATTGATTTCTCCATATCAGCTTTATAAAAAACTACATCATTCTCAATTAACAGACTCTCAATTTGGAGAAATTATTACATCCGGTCAAAAACCGAACGGTCCGAATGTATAACGAGCAATACCGAGTTCAAAATACTGAGTTTTAGGTGACGTGGCGCGTGGTTATTGGTCTCTGAACGCATTCGGGCACCGGATGTAATAATTGCTCCTCAATTTGAGCATAGTGAATTGTTTTTTTTTTTTCTTACATGATTTGACATTTTGACCTACTTGGTAATTCATTACAAATTCTAAAACTACCTAAAAGCATTGCATAAAACAAATAAGACGAAAATAATTTACACAATTTCATAAGGCATAACAATGTAAGCTAGTTCAAACTCAAATCTCCAAATGAGGTCAAACAGGGCCCCAGCTTTGTGAGAGCGATTAGCGAGAGAGAGAGAGAGAGAGGACAATTTTTTTTTTTTTTTTCTTTCTCTAAAAAATTCGAACAAAGAGCTGAAGAAGATAGGAGAACCATAGATACAAATTCTGAGATCTCAAGATCCTAGCTTTCCATCGCATTTCCTCTTTCTCCTACGCATCCGAACACAATCGTAGACACTGGTTCGGGAGATGCGAAACGGAGGGGATCGCCTCGGTCTGAGATGAGGCGGCGGGCCTTCGATTTTCGCAGACCAGCTAGGAGGAGATGGGTCTTGGAATGTCGGGTGCTTATGGTGCCCTGCCTTTTAGGGCTGCTGGTGCTACTCCTATTGATCACTAGCCGCGACAGGGATCTGCGATCCGTGCCTCTTGCTGCGAAGGTTCTATTTGGTTTACTTTTTTTATTTGTGTTCTCTGCTCTTATCTGTCTTACGACATGCTTACATGCAAAATTTGTTGATTTATGTTCTTAATTTGGTGGATGTTTTTCTTTCTATATACGGGAAGTTATTAATGTTGGATTTACTTTTTCAGGGTGTAAAATGCTGTTTTTCATCTTGTCGGTAGGTGTAGTGATGAAATAGGTTGGCGGTTTGTAGAATCCTGGAAAATGTGCGTGGATGCATTAACTGGGTGGAGCAAAGTGTAATCTTGAGAGACGCTAAATGATGTGGATGGCATTCTAAACAAGGCACAGAGAGCCTCTTAAAATCGAACCATGTACTATTGAATACATTTGTCCCTATTAGTAGTGTGGTGTTGTTGAGTTTTGGGATTTCTCTACTTAGCTGGTGAATTTAATAATCGACTGCTTGAAGAATATAACACCTATTTTATTGATTGCAAAGTCCTGCAAGGATTTTGATAGATCTTCCTCTCCTTTCTCTTACAATATGCAGATTCGCAATTGAACGGGAACAAAAAAAATTGAGTAGGAGAGTGGACTTGGTACTGAATGGGACTTTCATCATGTGGCCACAATATTAAAAACAATTGTTTCATGTTTATATATATAGCTTGCTAATATGAATTGATCCAATATGATCTTAAAAATTGAATCATGGTAGCCAATATGCCATTTATTGATATTAGACAAGTCCATGGTTATAAATTCATATGAACTTATTGACTAGAATCTCAAGTGTTAGTATAGTAGGAAAATAACACTCGAAATATGACCATAAAATATCATCTTCACTGTTTGTCCTTTTTTTCTCAAATGCAATATGCCTTCAAGGCTTTACAATATGACTTGAGAAAATTAGATGGCTTTAATGAGTCTTTACTATGCATTAACAATAAGAAAAGCAACTAAATGGCTGCAACAATATGTATGTGTTAATGATATTCGCAATGTCAAATCAACTAAGAGTCATACTTATCACAATTTGCTCAAAATGATACAAGATGACAAAACTTTTTAAAAAAGAAGATGATATTATTATTATAAAGTATAATTAGAATTGATCACTTAAAATATGTTCATATGAAAAACTACAAACATCAAATGTGCATATGAACTCTTATATGACTTCTATGCTTATTATTTTTTATTTATGTACTTTGTAATTTCTTTTTGAATCCGTCAATTATTGCTTGTTTTGTATAAATAGGAGGCCTCTAAGCATCTTAAATTTCAAATTGACTAAATAAAATCTCAATTTCCTCTCAAACTTGTGTGTGCTGTTAGATGTGAATTCTTTTAGTGCATTACGAACTTGATGACAACTTGCAAGAGAAAGCTTTCTCCTTATCTCAAAATGATGCTCGAATCTTTGTTATTTTTTATCGATGTACTTTGCATCATGTCAACTAGAAGATGGAAGAAATAATGAGGTCAATTAACAAAACAACGTAAGGTGCAATATAAATGGTATCTGATAGGCTTTGAGAATGATAATGTGGCTATTTTTTTCAAAATTATATTCCTATTTTTAATGTGAGTTGTAACATTAGACAATTTCAAATTACATTGATAATTTGTAGCATTCTTTTGAACATTATCAAGTGTTTATTTCCAAAAAATTATTGGGATATGCTCAATCATTTTTTTTGAAGTGTTGCTAGTGAAAATAAACGTATTTGGGTTGGCCTAAAAGATAAAATTAAAGACCAATATCAGTTATTAGATGAATGCTAGGTCAACTACATTAACAGTTTTATCATTATAAATAAAGTGAATATATCATGTTTGAATATTTTCAGAACTTTATAAGTCTTGTAACTAAACATCGTTTGTCTGGAGACTATTTAGCTATAACTTTCTATTTCATTAAAGGTCTTAGGCAAGAGATTTTGCATGAATTAAGCTATAATTCTCTAAATATATTATATGAAGCTTTATTCAAATTATTGATATTGAGATAGATTATAACCATTATGTTAGAGATGCTACATATGCATATAAAGTCCCTAAAAAAATTATTATCATTTTATCCAAAGCTTGTCAAACATACATCAACACAAGAATTAGGCATAGGTAAAGATCATCTTATCAAATAAATTGTAGTTCATGAATATTCTTTTGATGGTGTATTAAATTAGAAATAGTTTTTTTGTTACAACATGAACCTATATTTGACTTTGTTGAATCAAAATATGAGTCTATGTTGGAATTTATTCATGAACTGAAGCCTATGCTTGACAAGAATCATAATTAAAGAGAACTTTAGCATGCAATCATATCGAATTTGAACTTCAAAGAGAAATTGAATCTAATTCTAAAAAAATGAACATAGAATTGAGCAATAATCAGAATTCAATTTAAAACTAAATTTGAGTATGGTTCAGTTGTGGATTAAAACTTCCATTTTAAATTGGATTTGAAACTGGAATAGACTGAGAATCATATTTGAACACGAATTGAAATTAGAATATGAATCTGAACTTTGATTAGAATTTGAATATATTATTGACTGTGAACCTGAACATTTAATAAAAATGTCTAAAAATATGATTTTGAATTTGTAAAGTCATTGAATCTAACTCTGATTTTGAAAGTGAATCAAGCATTTCTATTGAAGTTGATAACTCAATTGAAGAATGTGCTGATTTAATTCCTAATGAAATTTCTAGTGAAATTCTCTCTACAGATTAAATTGAAAATATATATATATTTTTTTTATTTCTTGACATACGAATTCATAAACCGAAACTTACAGAGAAAGTGAAATTACATGAATATTTCAACAAAGTAATCAATAAGGAGGTACTTAAATAAAAAATGAACTTCAAAATTTCGTCCATATTGTCAAATTCAAAAGTACATAATTGATCACAATTGATTTTTGAGCAATTGAGTAGTTTTCTTTAAAGAGGCTGTCTGTCTATATAGGCATATCATATTTATATAATGTTTTTTTTTAATTTTCTTTATCATTTAGTTTTCTAGGAATTCTTTATAGGCCATTATTAGTATTCTTTCGAATGTATATTTGTATATTAATATTTTTATTACTTCTTTCATATTATTTGCATGATCAATATGATTTGCATGATGATATTCAATTGAAATTAATTGTTGAAAATGTCAATTATATGTCTAATGTTTATATGAATAGGAAATATATTGAGTTTAAACTTTTATGATAAAGGACTGACAAGTCTAAATCTTAAAAGGCTTCCTACTAGAATCTTTAAGAAATAGCCTTTAAAGAAGGTGAGATCATATAAAATCATGCAACCTATTGGGATAAATGTTTAAAATTTGCAAAATTTTGAAGTTATTGTATTAGTGCATACTAAATGTATCTGATTTTACTTTATTTCATAAATGCCACCAATACCTTGGATTATTCTTTTCATTTCTTTGCAAACTAACTTCAAACACTTTATCAAACAACTTTATACCTATTGTTTCAGAAGCTATCTTACAAGCTAAGATTTTATTAACTACTGATGATGAATATTTGGATCATCTTGTGCTTTGTAATGACAAACATGCTTGTGATGCTTCACTGATTACTTTGCAAGAAGTTTATCAGCCTAAGTTGCTTGTCAAATATTAAATGCTTAATTCTTCATAGCCAAAAAATTTCAAATTTTGCATGATGATGCAAATTTTAAGATCTATAATCTTCGGTCATGTAAATCATGTTTATTGATATTGCTTTAGCTTTTATTCTAGTTGATTTCCTTGTAAGCTTGGCTATTGTAATGGTATTAGGATGGCGGGATGTGTTATTTACTGTTTTGATTCTGTTGTTAGTTTGGTTTATTGCATAAATTGGAATTCAACACCAATCAGATTTCTTATTTTAGCATATGTCCAGTTCTCTATTTTTCCCGGCCTATAATTTGGAAGTGCGTTATTGTTGTTATGTTGCTTGTTTTTCTTTCCCGGATCTGCACTGTAACTGAGGATCAACTCTTGCTAACTTGGGCTGTCTGTGATGTAGCAAGGAGATGGTTGGGATTGTTGATTGCTAGTTGAGTAATAGAATTTTGCCTTATGCAAGGCGTTTATTTTCTGTTATTGGTTTTTCTTATATGCATGAGTTGTTGTTTGCAACTTTTCTATTATAAATATGATCCGATATTTCCTCCTGCAGCTGAACTTCAACTGTTTCTTTCTCCTCTATCACTTCCCTCTTGTATTAGAGTTAGGGTTGGTTGGTTTTCTTCTACGACTTATCTATGGTAAAAAGAATTGGGTATGGCTGTTGTTAAATTTAGAGAATTGGAGAGGAAAAATGCTTTATTTTATCATACAAAACTATCTTTATTTATAAATTTATACACTATGTCTTAATAAAGAGATAAATAACTACAAAATCATGTATAATTGTCTTAATATAATGCTTCCTAAATCAACCAACCAAATATAGAATGAGATCGGCGTGATCCAGGTGAGTCTCCCACGAATCCCCATGCTGGCTGTGGGATCAAGGGCTAAGGGAATACTGAGATTTAACATTCCCCCTTAAGCTGGGGAATGCAGATTTGTTATTCGCAGCTTGGTAATCAGCCCCATAGATGTAGAGTTATCAAGTCCCTTGGTGCACCATAGTCCTTTTTTGTCAAGCTTTGGGAGCAATTAGCTTTAGACATTGTGATGGGAAAGGGTAACAATGAATGCTATATTAAGCAGGGTAGCAATAAAGGTTGCATTAATTGTAGATAGGATAGCAACCACAAGGGAAACCCAACAATGAAGGCATGACAGTAGGGAAAAAAAAATATTTTTAGGGTTGTAGCAAGCTTCAAGGACAGAAGCAGAAAAACACGTCTCAAGCAACTCAACACTTAGCACGTAAATCTCCTCTTGTCAGATAGAGTCAGCCTTCAGCTCAATGCAAATCAGTCGTTTGACTCCACATGAGCACTCCTGTTCAATCAACCCCGTACAAGTGCATGCAAGGCCTCTGATCCCTTTGGTTTGATCGCATGAAGGAGTGCAGGTCTTGCACTCTTGCTTGTCCCGGCCTTAGACCTCATGAGAGGTAACTCTCAGCTCTTTACATACGCACGCAAGAGGAGGTCCTTCGCTCGACTTCTCTCGCTTCTGCTCGGTCGATTCGGGAAGTTGCACGCTAGAGGAGCCCTCCCGCTCGACCTCTCCTCGGTCTTGGGCACATGAAGGAAGCTAAATGACCAATATTCCTTAGAATTTCGGTAATAAAGGTCGGTGGAATGGCCAATATTTCTCAGAATTATAGCAATGAAGGTCGGTTATGAGAACCTATATTTCTCATAATTTCAGCATTGAAGGCTGGTGATGGGAATCTGTAATCCTCATAATTTTGGCAATGAAGGTTGGTGGTGGGAACTTGTATTTCACAGAATTCTAGCAATGAGGGCTTGTAGTGGGAACATGTACTTCTCAGAATTCCGACAATGAAGGATGGAGGCGGGAACCTGGAGAACCAACCAGCGCCAGCTCCTTTAGGGTATGATAAAGTGCTTCTAATCTCTATGTAGTCTCACCTTCAATATCCACGATCAACTCTCTACTTAGGGAAATAGCATACTTCACCATCTACATGCTCACCAACTCTTCGGTCATCGTAAGGACGCACTGGACCGTACCAATGAAGTGTCTTACCACCAAGAAAGTCATCTTTTTCCCCACGACAAGCATCGTCTCGGAAACTCCATGTATCAGGATCGTTCCATCAGCGAGCTTCAAATCCAGTGAGCCGACTTTAGTCCAAATTCAACCGGCAAGGTTGTCAATGATGATTCTGTCAACGACAACAAAGAAATCGAGAATGTGGGTTACAAAATGGCATTCATCTGATTTGAGGGATTGATCCCAGTGGCGGAGATCTTGGGAGAGGTCAACTTCTTCGGTTGTCTAGAAGGAGGCTTATGCCTTCTTGTACATCTCCTAGATATGAGTGTAGCGGTTCGGGAACATGTAGAAGCGGTCAGGATTTAGGGCAAGGAGGGGCTCTTTGAGTGAAGGTTTTGATGTCATGTATAACAGCTCTTCAATCGCTCATTCCTTAGTCGGTTTGGCTCCAACACACGCACGAGGGCCAGTCATCCCCGCTCAGGCACGCGTGCACGCAGTTCTTGCTCACTCCCTCTCTTGATCATCTTCTTCACTCAGCTTGGTCCCCATGTAGGTATGCACAAGAGCCGCATGCAGAAGACTGCAAAGGGGAAGCCCTCTCACTTGTTCGGCTGCCCTAGACACACACAAGCAGGAACGGAACACAAGAATCAACTCTCCCTCTCTTATGCTCTCATTTTTTAAGAAGAGCCAAATGTCTTGCTCTGATACCATGTTAAATTCAGAGAATTGGAGAGAGGGAAAATGCTTAATTTTGTTATACAAAATTATCCATATTTATAGATCTATACAATATGTCTTGATAAAGAAACAAATAACTACAGAATCATGCATAATTGCCTTAATATAATCCTTCCTAAATCAGTCACCCAAATATAGAATGAGATCGGCATGATCTAGGTGATCCTCCCACGGATCCCCATGCTGGTCATGGTATAAAGGGCCAAGGGATGGCTAAGATTTAACAATGTGATCCAGGTGAGCCTCCCATGCATCCCCATGCTAGCCGTGGGATAAAGGGCCAAGGGATGGCTAGGATATACCAACTATTTTCTTTCTATATGCACTATATTAGAGCTAGAAATTGGTTGTTTATGGGATGCACAAAATCTAAACTTTATGTTTTTGCTGTTTGGAGATTAGAAACTAGTTGATTTTACTATTTAGTCCATATTCTGGATTTGTTTTTGAAACTATCATTTTTGTTCTAGTTTAGATTATAAACAGGCAGCTTGTGGGCATGCAAAATCAGAATTGGCTTAATAAATTTTTAAATTCCTTTCACATTTGTGTGTTGTTGGATATGGATTCTTCCATTGCAAGTTCTAATAACAAATTTTGAGGAAAAGCTTTCTCCTTATTTAGGCGCTTGGCGTGGTTCTTTGGTAACTTTTATGCTTATGCTTTATATCTATATACTTAGTTATTAGTCGAACCCTTTTGACTCTAAATGAGTTCATTTTTGTTGTCCTACCCGTACATGTTATCACATGATCAATCTATTCATATGCATGATCTTTCTAAAGCTAATTTCATTTGGTTTCATATTTTGAGTATCTGGATGTATACATCACTTTTCCTTCTTATAACATGGTATATGCATATTTTTAGATTTAAATTTTGCTAACATATTTTATATTTCCATAAAAAAGGACATATCAATCAAAATTAATTTATTTACGGATCGAATAAATTGAATTATACTCAATTATAGGAAAAAATTTTATTTCTTAATTAAAGTTGCATATCTTACTTATTGTGAGGATGTGGATGATCTATTTTTAGATAAACTATCTCATTATTGTCTGTCTTAATCTTTTTCGTTTGTAGACAATCTAAATGATTATCTTAATGCATTAAAATTAAATTTCAAATTCTAACACAATTAAACATCAATTTAATCTCAATTAATAATTAATTTTCATATAAATCTCAAACTTCTCAAATCCTATTCAATCAATTCAATGAAGAAAATCATGACAAATCAGATTTTGGACCAAAAAACTCCAATTTTAACAAGCTTATAATTAAAGTGAACTTTTTGATGAGATGAACCCATCAACGCCATAACTAACTCAATTCGACTCCACATGAGCCTTAATTAAGCACTAGAAGCATAATTGAACTATTTCAACTGGGCCATGTTCATGATTTTTTTTTTTTTTAGTTTTTTCATGTAAATAATTTTAGCGGCTCTTGTAAATTATATTTGTGTATCCTGAATTTTTGTATGAAGCTAAGAAATTAAAAATACTCTCCACTGTTATAAATTTTTTAGCACATAACAAATATATAACACTAAGCAACAATCAAATGGAGATGGATTCATAAAACCATCTTCAATAGTTGTAACGAGGATAATGATGATGATAACTTTGTGTTACTTGTATATATATTGAGTGATAGTAGCTATATGAGATTATGAGTAATTATTGTTGATCGCTACCTTATATTCATTTCTCTTGGAACTTTTAAGTGTCTTCTTAAAAGATTTAATATGTTCATTTTCATTTAACCACATTCTTAAAGGTCTGAAACCTTTGATTGGCAAGCAAAAGAGTGATGGAGGAAGTTACATGGCATGCCTTCAGGTATTGGTTGTGCGAAGAGAGGATGCATTTTGTTTCTGTGAGATGCGGACATTTTTTTTCCCTAAAGCTATCCTATTCTGAAAATTATGTCCATTTCAAAACTTGAAACCCATCTCTAGTCATCAATATCATTTTGTTAGGAAAGAAAATGAGAATAATAATATTTTTCTGGTTTAGTTATTTAAGTTGGTGTTAATACTTGGTGAATTTGGATGGTGAATGCTGTGTTTTGATTAACAGGTCTACCTAGAAAAATTGATATGCTTGTCGCTCCATTAGCATTTTATCCGACGGTAACTTTCGGGAAAAACAGTTCCTGCTAGTCGTTTAACTAATTACTTGAAAAAAAAAAAAATTCTAGAAATTCAAGACCAGGATAGCTTACTTATATTCATGTTAACTTAGGCATCAGAAGCCTTTTTTATCCTAAAAGAAAGCTTATCCTTGTTCTGCAGACATATCTAAACTCTGCCATTAGCATCCCTCAAGGTCTGAATATTACTGATGAAATGCTGAATGCTAACTCAGTCACGAGGCAATTAGTTGATCAGATTTCTCTTGCAAAGGCTTACCTGGTCATTGCCAAAGAAAGCAACAATCTTCAGTTTGCTGGGGATCTAAGGACCCAGATACAAAACACCCAGGCCCTCCTCTCTACTGCTGCTACCCGGCGATACCCCTTGAGTACTGAAGAGTCTGAGACTGCAATTCACAACATGGCTGTATTGCTTTACCAAGCACAGCAGCTCCGTTATGATACTGCAACTTCGCTTATGAAGATGAAAGGCCAGGTCCAGTCTCTTGAAGATAAATCTAAGGCAGAAGCTGAAAAAAGTACCAAATTTGGGCAGATAGCTGCTGAGGAGCTCCCAAAAGCTTTGTATTGCTTTGGAATGCGACTAATCATGGATTGGTTCAAACGGCCAAACCCAGAAAGAAGAATCTCATATGCACCACACTACTTGGAGAAGCTCAGGGACAACAACCTGCAGCACTTCTGTATCTTTTCAGACAACATTCTAGCAGTATCAGTTGTCATCAACTCGACCACCACAAATTCTAAGCATCCTCACCAGCTTGTCTTCCATCTAGTGACAGATGAAGTGAACTACATACCAATGAGGGCCTGGTTCTCCATGAACAGCATGGGAGAAGCTACCATAGAGATCCAGAAAGTGGAGGATTTTAGCTGGCTCAATGCTTCATATGTACCAGTTTTGAAGCAGCTCCAAGATGCCAACACACAGAATTTCTACTTTTCTGGCAACAAGGACAACAAAACTCCAATCAAGTTCAGGAATCCAAAGTATTTATCAATGCTTAATCACCTGAGGTTTTACATACCAGAGCTCTTTCCTGCACTAAATAAGATAGTATTTCTTGATGATGATGTGATTGTCCAGAAGGATCTTTCTGATCTGTTCTCAATTGACCTGAATGGAAATGTAATGGGAGCTGTTGAGACTTGCATGGAGACATTCCACAGGTTCCACAAGTACTTGAACTTCTCACACCCCTTGATCCGTGACCATTTCGATCCCGACGCCTGTGGATGGGCCTTTGGAATGAATGTGATTGATCTTACAGAGTGGCGAAGGCGAAATGTGACCGGCATCTACCATTACTGGCAGGAAAGAAATGCAGATCACACATTATGGAAGCTAGGGACTTTGCCACCGGGATTGCTTTCATTTTATGGCTTGGTTCAGAGATTGGATCCGAAGTGGCATGTTCTAGGTTTAGGGTACACAAACGTCGATCCATCGCTGATTTCTGAGGGTGCCGTTCTGCACTACAATGGAAACATGAAGCCATGGTTAAAGATTGGAATGGAAAAGTATAGGGGGCTGTGGGATATATATGTAGACTATTCTCACCCTTTGTTGCAGCAGTGTTTCGTGCATTGATAGGGTTCATTGTTCTTCTGATGCAGTGATGGAGCAGAAGCAGCGCAGGTTGATCATTTTTTCTTTTTAATTATTGAGTAGACTTTTCCTCTAAAATTTTGCCTTCCCCTTTGTTGGTTCTCCTAATTGTTTTTATTGGTGATGTGGATGTGTTATAGCATTAGAAGCTTAGCTCCAAAATTTTACATGTGAATTTCAGATTTCTGGCATATCTTGGCATAATATAGTATAAATGAGGAAACGAGGCTGTTTGATTAGCTCTATATCTTCTTCTGTAGCTTTCATCTTAGCATGTTAGGATAAAAACAGTCATCTTATGTTGAAGGAAGAAGAAAGGGCAGAATTAAGCTCCTCGAGAGTTTACAGAATTGCATTACACCTCACAGAATTAAACCTATGCACAAAACTGCACTCCCTAAGTTTAAAGTTTTATTTGGGATAGCTCTTTTACTGTTTTTTAAAATAATTTTGTTGTACAAAATTTTTTGAATTAAAAATTTATGTACTAAAAACTGCCTTAGAAAGCATTAAGAAAGCTGCTCCAAAGGAATCCTAAACTATTACCAGTTCATTGTCAATTTAGGCTATACAGAACACTAGCACTAATCCTGTACATAACATAAAAGTTATGAGGTTTTCCCTCTTTTATAGATCATGTTTTTACAGTTTTACTGAAGCAGTTACTGGTTTTTTTTTTTTTTTTCTTTTGATTATTTAGCGATCAAATGACTGAATTTTGAGAGCATGTATAGATGTGTTGCATAGGTAGAACAGGATTAGTGATGTAACATCTATTTTCTTCTGTAAATTATCTCAAGATGAACATTTTAGCCTACCCCTAAAATTCTGCTATCTGCTTCTGAAGCTTATCATCATAGATGTTGCTTTCTAGAAACAAAACAATAATGGACATTTCAAACAAAAACATTCATAAAGAAATTATTAACATTGACAGATGCATGAAACATGTAAGATCTTTATATATATGCATATATTACTCACTCAAAGATCAATACTTCTCTACATTTGCACAGGTCATACTAGGGAATGACAAACAATTTTGCCTCACCTAACATTTTTTTTAACATAAATTTGAGACTACAATTGCATTAAATACATCCTAATTCCTATCTCATACTTACAACTCAACTAGTGGGATTCCATAGGCACGCTTATATAACTGATCTCCATAGCAACAAAATCTTAAACAACACAAGGACCTATCACTGCATATGAAAGAAAATTTTATTTCTATGATGAATGCAAATTCCTGTCAACTTCCCACACAAGCTTCCGCAGCTACTTCCAGGAGGTACTTTCATGAAAGGAGAAATTATTCTGTACAGAGACCGGACATAGAACGTCATCCGGAGACCAATTAGAATGCAACACGTCAGCAATACCGAGTCATGGTATTGAGCAGTACCGAGCCACGGTATCGAGCAAGGGGTAACGTGGCACATTCTGGTTGGTCTCCTGACGGCATTCGGCCTCCACACAGAATAATTAATCTCATAAAAGAAACCTCACCAAACTAGGAGGAAAATTCTACAACAATCATTTTAAGCTCCAATTGCCCCACCATTTCCTTCGTGTTTGTGGCGTTTCAGGATTTCCAAGCTTCTTAAGCGCAGCCTTTGCTTCACGCAATCGAACCCTGTAATTTTTCTTCCAAGAAACAAACTGAACTTTCAGTTTGCTGAGCTCCTCATCAGGATTTATGTTGGAGACCGACAATCCTGACTTCACCTCAACAAGGAAACCTGCATCATCCTCAAATATCTGTCTCCTCTCTTCAAACTCCTTGAATAAGTGACTGATTGTATTCCTTACACCTTCAGGAGTTTTAGTTAGTGCCACACCAGATGCACGGGATCGTTTCGCAGGTGTTCCTTCAGTTGTATAAGTCTCAAAAGACATGGCATCTTCAGAGTCGAAATATGGATAGCTTGGTGATAAATCAGGCCTTCCAGCCAGGCTAGCCACATCATTGGTAGCAAGACTCCTCTTTGCAGCAGCCAAACTCATCTGCACCCAGAATAGTCAAATTTAGCAAATGAAACCATACCACTATCTTCACAGAGATGTATTTCTAAATAATAGAAGAATTTAAATTAAGTGTGATTGACATTATTTTAGTAAATAGTGCTCAAAGTTTAGCAGACAATTTACTGAAAAAAATATAATTGAACTTAAACAATCCTAATTCAAAAAAATAAAATAAAACCTGCAATGAAGTCATCTGTTTTTGCCACAGATCCTCCAAGGACTTCATTTTTGCATCATAATCTGACCATCTCATCTCATATTGCTGAAGTTGTTGCCTCAGACAGGAATTTTCCTCTTCCTTATGTCTCAGCTCTGCTTCCGCTTTCAGAACCCGGCTCTCAAGTTCTACCATAACTGAATGCTCAACTGGAGGAGGATTTTGCTGGGTATACAGAAATTTAAAAGTATTAATCACTAACTTCTGCTTCAAACAATCTATTCAGACTCAATTAATCACTAACTCGCAGGAAACCGAATTAAAAAAGACAATTTAAAATAAATAAAGCAAAATAAAATAAAATTTGCAAAATTAATAGGCTTACAGGAAACCGATTAGTTTGGTCAGATTGATTATAAACAATAAATGAAAAAAAAAGTCAATAATTTGGATACTTGGGTAACTAAGTTCTTTGGATTCTTGGTTTCATCACCAACAATTCAACAAACCAAACTATTCAATCTCACACCCCTAATAGTGATGCTATTGAGCTTTTCATTGATGATGGCAGTGTAAGAAATTAAGAACATTTTCAACTTTCAAAAAAAAAAAAAAAAAGAGATAAATTACCTCAAATTCATGGAGATTCTTGCTTAGATCAGTCTCAAGATTTAAATCATTGCACTTTGTCATTTCCAAGCTTCTGCTAATATTGAAATGCTTTCTTGCCAACCAACCACGTATGACTTAAATAAAAAAAAAAAAAGAATCAAGGCGCAATCAATTAATGCAATTAGAAAAGAGAAACCAAACGCTTTTTACAAGGTTACCAAAAGCTACCTGATTGCAAAAGCATTATAAGCTTTTGTTGTTTGGCAAAAGCTTTCTGAGCAACCCACCGCTTAACATGCTTTTGTATAAGAACAGCAGCTCTATGCCGCCTTGCTAAATAGTGAAACTCATTTCTTGCTCTTTTAGCTCGTATACCTTTTTCACAAAAAGAAAGCATAAATGTCCAAATTTTAATTAATATTTCCAGGAAACCTCATAAAAAGGTTTAAAACAGCAATAGTGTATGATGAGACTAAAGTCTATACAAGCATAAAAGGAAGAACTAATTATGCAAAAGCTGAGTTTTTTTCTTACATGATTGCAGTGTTGTAACTCCACTCTTAATATCATTAAAACTGCGACGAGCTCGAGCACCACGGAAATATTTCTGAGCACACAAGATTCCTTGCAATTTACAGGCTCTAGCAGTTTCTAGTATTGCAAGCTATAAATATTTCAAGATACCACACGTAAGATAATGAGGCAATTTGAAGTATTGATTCAAGCAAATAGGAAGAAGAGCAACATAACTATTAAAACAAAATATAAAAGCACCAGTTTAGGTTTAATTAAAATAAAATTTAAGTATAAACCACTACCTTCAATGGTGTTGTTAATCAAAACAAATTCATTAAGAAACTAAGCAGTTTTACTGGAAAAAGTAATGATCAAGTACCACATGGATTAAAGTAGAGGTGCCAATATTTCACACGACCCAAAAACCCGACTTGACCGCCCCGAAAATTTCGGGTTACGGTCAACCCAAACCCGAAACGGGTCGGGTTCGGGTTTAACAATTCGACCCATTTCAAAAATCGAGTCGGGTTCGGGTTGACCCTTCGACCCAAAATTGACCCGAAATTGGACCCGAAAACTAGCATTTTTTTGTTGGCACCGGGTCATTCGGGTCGTGTCGGGTTAACCCGAATCCGAAGTGGGTCGGGTTCAAGTCTGGAAAATTGATCCGTTTGCAAAAACGGGTTGGGTTGACCCGAATAGTGCTAGGTCAGTTTAGGGTTCGACCCGAACCCGACCCGTGACCCGAAATTGACACCACTAGATTAAAGGGCCATGAGCACTAGTGTTAAACGACACATCAAATATAGATCCATAGATCAAACCTGGTTATCATGGTGACAAATATCTATATTATCAAACTCTGCTAGTACATTTCTTTCAAGGAAAAATATGTATAATTACAAGCAAAACTCATCCAATATGATTGATTATGGCTTAGAAGTATTTTAATCATACAGAAAGCATAAATTTGATCAGATAATGTGAAGCTATGCACAAAAAAAATGTGGCCACAAAGAAACAGCAGAAGACTAAATCGAAGTAGGGAAATTGCCTGTCCACTGCGGAAAAATATTTTTGTATATCCAACTTGATACATGCAAGGAAGAACACTGTATTGCTGCAGAACTGCAACTAAAGTACTAAGTGAATCCATTACCGGTGTATTTTCCATAAGCAGAAAGTTATACCTGAGAGGACTAACATGTTATATGCATATATAAAAGAAACACAATTGAAACTTGGAAAACTTTCGGAATTTTAACTACCTTTCAACAAACTGTTGATGGGTCATTCTTGTAGGATAGCCTGACCTTGTTATCCTGGCAACTTCAAGTAAGCTGAAGCTTCTCAGCTGTCGAATGACAAAATCTTCTTCATAAATTCCAGCAAGTTGTTTACTGTTTGGATTAATACAGCTTATGAAGTGTGGGTTGGTGTTCTCCAGCAGTTGTATCAACTCTGAAAGTTGATCCTAGAAAAAGACACAGCATTAAAAGCATTGCACGAGATTTGGTGAAAAAAAAAAAAGTGGAATTCACTCCATGTCAAATGGACATAATATAGGTCTTAGTTTCTCCAAAGAGATAGTGAACAACAACAACATCTGAAAAACAATAGTTGTCTTCCATCTAAATAATGGAGAGAATCAATAGCAAAAACCAAAAGTTATGGACCAAAGACTTTAGTAAGCAGCCAAAGAGTGCAACAACAACAACAACAACATCAAGCTTTTATCCCACTACGTGTAGTCGGCTACATGAATCCTTTTTCGCCATTGTGTCCTGTTAAAAATCAAATTATCATTTAAATCTAATAAAGAAATATCATTTCTAATATTTTCTAACCAAGTCTTTTTAGGTCTACCTCTACCTTTCTTAATATAAGTCAAATCTAATACCTCAACTTTACTACCCGGGTCATCGGAAGGCCTCCGTTTAATGTGACCAAATCATCTAAGGCGACTCTCTCCAAAGAGTGCTAGTGGGTAAAGTATCCGGGCATGCATAAGCCATGCTTTACCAGACAATATGCAGTCAAAGAATCAGTAAAGAATTCAAAACTACATAAAAACCTCCATCCTGTGAAATCCGATGAACAATAACACTGCCTCTCTATACAAAAACCACCAATTTCAACAAACTAAAGTAGTAAAAATTTTCATGAGGAACTACCAAGTATCTCACAAGTACTAAGCGAAGTCATATTGTTTTTCATGCAAAGTACAAGGTAATAAGCCAGTTGTAACTACACAGAAAAAAGGCAAGCTTCTAGAATAGTTCAGCAAATACATTTCAAAGCAAATTAACCAATCCTTTGCCAACTTCCCTTGAAATATTCTGTACCCTAACAAATTAATATTAAAAAGACGCTCATTTCCTTCATCTATAACAGAAATTTAAAGTAAACTTTTACTTACTAAGCAGTTTGCATTAGTTTTATTACATAGATGATAAAAGTAATCCTAAAGAAAAGTTCATTGAGAGATAAAAGAAAGAATAAAGACAGTCTAATAATTAAGTATTCAATTACAGGAAAGGATTTACCTTTAATTTTGTAACAGCACCCTGCATTGAAGAAGATAAACTACCCAAGGAGCCAAGCACCCGGGGAAGTCGATTTCCGCATGATAAAAGCAGTTTTTTAATAGAATCTTCATGAACTATCTCTCTATTATTCTTCAAGAAGCCACTTATATTATACAAAACCTGATAAGGAAAATCCATTTGGTCATATATATAATGAAATCAAATTACAGCTTACAGAATTTTGCACTGCAAAGAAAAATAAAAAACTACAGGAAAAAAAAAAACGCATAAGATTATCGTCCTGATAGTATAAACTTCTGAAAATAGTTTTATATCGCAAAATACTGTCTAGTACAATAAGCATATAAATTGCCTAGGAGACCAAGAAATATGCTAAAGCATTAGTGGCTCCAAAAACAGTCACGTGTTTATAGCATTAAATTTTTTATTTATAAGAAATCAGAACATTTGAAAAGTGCAAAGCATTCAGGAACATTGACTTTCTGATCACTAAGACTTCATTTGGGACGGCTTTCATACTGCTTTATGAAGTAGCTTTTTAGTACAAAAATTAAAACTTTTGTACTAAAAAGCTGCTTTAAGTAGTAAGAAAGTCGTCCCAAATGAAGCCTAAAACTCTCAAGCGTCACTTGATCATTATGTTAATGTTCGCCTCGTATTAATTGTCCAAGCAAAGATTGAAACCTTGAATAATAATTGCATATATAAGGCTGCATCCATTTAACTTGCTTGTAACTTCATAACCCTATTTGATTTAAATAAGAAAATAGCAAAATTGCAGATATCACCCAAAACAACTGGATTGTTCTCGGTATAGAAAAATTGCAGTTATCCCTTGAAGACTAAAACGACCTTATTAAAAATATATCAAAGCCTATTTAATGCACTTGCGGATGTAATACCTCTCCTGCATAATGGCAGATTCTGAAAGAACTACTTTCTCCCTTGAAACAAGGATTGCCAAGAAATTGATCTTTAAGTTTGTTTAAAAGGGTGAAATCGGTTGCCTTGGAGCAAGCTGATTCTTCATCTAACAAAGATAAAATCCCTTGGGGCTGCAGTGCACCAAATAGAGCCGTTACCAAGAATGCACAATTGAAATAAAATAATAATAATAAAAGATACAGGAATACACAAAAAACCGTTCATTCATGATATAGAGTTGAAAAGAGTAGCTAAAAATAGCAAAGGATTTTGCAGTTAGTATAATAAATAGATATATCATATATAAAAACATTAATGTTATCAAGCATGTAAAATGCACATGAATATAAAGGCCTTCAAGTGAAAGCTCATAATAAAAGAAGGAAAAAAGCATGGAGAAAAAGTAGAATGCTTAGCCCGTTCTTGGGAGAAATAATATTCCAATATTCAGTAAAATAATAGCAAAAGAGCACCATCCGATCATATGAGATATTCAGACAAGTATGACATCCTAGCATTATGCTTGGTGCAACGCAAGATAAATTATAGATTAAATTGCAAACAATGTTCCTATACCGGAAAACAAAGCACCAAAATATACTTGGATCGTACAAGCTCTCTCTCTCTCTCACATAAACTGTATCATTACTCATTAAAACCTGAAGTGCTATTTTAAGTGCCTAAAAGTTTATTGCCATATAGCACATGTACATGGGAGATTTTTAAGAATAATTCAGGTGATTATTATCAAGAAAAGATAGTAGCATCCATTCTAAGTTCACAATTGTAAATTTTCAGACATAATATTTTTATATTTCACTTAATTATTCCTAGAGACCTAACACCATGTTAGGCCGGCTGAATCGGTTCAAGTGTACTGCCGCCGGCCTAGGGGGAGGGCGGAACCCATGGGCGGAGCGAAGGGGGGGCAAGGGGGGGGGGGGGGGGCCGGGCCCCCCCCAAAAAAAAAAAAAAAAAAAAAAAAAAAAAAAAAAAAAAAAACAGAGAATCTAGAAATAAAATATAGGGAATTAAGTTTGAAACTTCAAAAATTAAATCGGAGACCATATGAACTCCGAGCTCAGCAAACTTACAATCAAACTGAACTCCGATCTCAGCAAACTCAAGTATTACCCATGGGGTTACTTCCAAACTCAAGTACTTCCTATCACACCACTTCGTTGATATTTGAAGTAATTGTTGCTGAGTGGTTGTTTTTTAACGTTATTATTATTATCATCGTCATTAGCATTATCCTAACTCTTGTCAGTTATATGCATCCTCCTGTTTTAAACATTCTTGCGGACTATTGCATAAGGTTTGAACTCTATATGATCTTCTTTTTGAGTGTTTAGTAAGTTATTCATGATCCATCTTATTCCTTTCCAATTATTTCATATAAATTATATCTGCCAATCATAATGAATCTTTTATTCAGTATTCTACATGTCCAAATAATCTAAGTCAATTTTCTTTTATCTTCAATAGAAATCACAAAAAATTTTCTATAATATACTTAGTTCACACACTATTCTTTTTTTAGCACTCGTTCATCTTAAAATTTTAAATGTTTCCCATGGTTTTAAAAATCGGACTGGACTGGCCAATTCAATCGTGAATCGGTTGGCAAACCAATATGGAATAATATCATACCATTTTAGCAACGAACCAGGAAAAACTGGCGGTTCAACCATATAACCGATGAATCGCCCATATTTAAATGAACCGCCCGATTCGAAAGGATGATTATTTGGATCGTTGATCGCTGATCTAAGGGTCGAAACATGGAGTTAAAAGTGCGATTTGTCCACCGTGAGCCCTCGTCTCTCGTTCGCGCGTAGCTTCCTCTCCAGACACGAACACACGTTCTTCTCTCTCCTTCTCGCAGTACCTGTGCTCCTCAGATCATGTAGTCGTGCTCTCTCTCGTTCTCGCAGTAGGTGTGCTCCTCAAATCTTGTTGTAGTTGCAAAACATAATATGGAATCAGGAAACTTGGTGTCAAAACAAACATTTGTACATGGGAACTTGGAAAAGACTATATCCTGTTCGTCTCGGACATCATCTTTGCTTCTTCTTCTTCTTCTATTGCCATAGGATTTAAGTTTTAGATTCTTCTAAAATCTTTGGCTTTATGTTGAGAAAGTTAAACATCGTTATATTGAAAGGAGGGGTTAAACATCTTCACATTGATATTCTCTGTTAGTCCAGATGTTAAAAACATCTGGTGTTGGATCTCTACATTTGGGAGTTTGTTAAAAATTAAAATGGATCTCTACATTTGCATCTTCCAAATCTACAAACCTCATAATAAATTAACAGTCAAAAACAATTCAGAAACATAATAAGAAAATAACCAAATGACAGTCCTAAAATCTCAAAATAGATATAGCTTTGAAGTCAATTTATTTTTATTTTTGTATTAACTATTTGTCATCCTCGAAAAATGATGATGTTCATTTACTAAAATAATCAATATGTTGTAAAGATGTTTAAGGTTAGACTACCATATTAGTATGTTAATTTTTATTTTTTTTTAATAATATTATTATTTATTACATCATCCAATTCGACCCCACTTCGACCGGTCGAACCATGAACCTCTCCGTCTTCCGATTCATTGTCCGGCTTTCGCAACCTTGATGTTGCCACACTCAACTTAGCTTCCACCAACTTCTTTATTATTTAGCAATAATACACACATAGCAAATCAATTTCTCTTGAATGATTCTCTTGAATACTGAGATGCTAATATCGATAACATTGTCAAGTATCCACAACCCCTTGGCATTAATCAATAAACGTTTTCCCCATCTATATACCTATTCTATTTTATAATATCTCAAAAATACCTTAACATAGCACATCAAATTATTATTTGATTTCTAGGATAATTGATGATTATTAATTTTGCATCCAATAAAATTTTACATCACATGCTCAATTCTTGCTGCACTAATTTTAACTTCAATATTCCCATAAATTCCCCCACTATTCCCTACATTGATAGAGACATCTATAAATAATATTAGACACTACTCCAACCTAAATAAGTACATTAACAATACTCAAATCTAGCAGATTTCCTACCTCATTGAGGATATGAAAGTTTTAAAAAATATAGACTGATTTCCTTCAAATATAGATACCCTTCAAAGCGAGAAAAACAGATGAATTAATAAGTAATAACTGAGAATAAGAGCATAAAAATTATATTTAAGAACAAAGATCAGTGACCGAGGAGGGTTTTATTGCAAAACCACCATGAGACACTGCATAAGCTTTGGATGACTTCTCAGAGATAAGGAAGCTCCATTTCTTGCTGTTTGTCAAGATGTATATTGCAGAAAATAAGTGTCTAGAATCACTCAGAGATAAGGAAGCTCCGATTTCTTGCTGTTTGTCAGGATATATATTGCACAAAATAAGTGTCTAGAATCAAAATTACTCAAAAGGTAATAAGAAGTTGCATCAAAACTGCAGGCCCTACTTATAAAAAAAAAAAAAAAACTAGAAAACATCATCCAACATAATCACCTCATGAAAAGATTGATAACTTTCATATCAACTGTCTAAAAGAACAAGAAGCCAAGTGTTGATACTAAAGGAGGCAGCGTTCTAATACCTTATCAAAGAGATTTAGACAGTCAACATTGTCTGGAAAGTCAAGGTTGCGCCAGTCAACTCCATCGAGAGTATACTCCTTCAAGAAAGGGAGGTAAAAATAATTGAAGTTTCATGAATGCAAAGTTAAAAGCAATATTTAATCTTATAAGGCAGAAATGAATGTAAAGAGCATTTTACAGCCACCAAAATAATGCATTATATAAGGATAGAAATATCATCATAAAACCAAAAATCTCAAGTTTTGAAGCTGTACTGCCAAAAAAAAGTTGAATTTTCCTTGAAAAAGCTAATAAAGAAGCATTTAATCAGCCAAAGCGGCAAAATGAGATAATAAATTTGCAAAGAAAAGAAAGCTAGATTCCTTGGTTCTAAGAGTAACTTATGATATGATAAAATGAAAAAAAAAATCAGTTTCTTCAGCTGAAAAGATGACACCAAAATCAGTTACTGGACGGGTAAGACCTGTGATGCTAGTTGGGAAAACAATGCCAACTGTAACCAAGTAGCTATAAGCGACAAGAAATACAAAGGTTTTTGAAATGATAAAAGAATTTTACCTCCTGTTCATGTTTAAGAAGATGGTTAATGAAGTGCTGCTGCATCCTTTCACTAGCATAGTTTCTGCTAAATTGATCAAATCCATTCTTCTGCAATAAAGAAGTTTAGCCATATAAGGTCTGATAAAAATGTATAGTACAGTATCTTACAACATTCTTACATGAGAAACCTCGAAGCCACATGTATCTAAGATAGTTATGGAGCTTCCACTATAAGTCTTTCCAGCTTGAAGGTATTTGTTGATCTGCACAACAACCCAGTCAAACAGAGTAGCATAAATTGATTTTGCCAATGCATCTCTAGTTTCAATTGCCTGCAGGAAAGGGAACAAATCTACATGAGCACTTCAGAAGTTTTGCGGGCAGAATAAGAGAGTTCAAGAACAAATTAGAAACCTGAGATAACGTTAGCTTCTGAACTATATTATCGTTTCCGGATTGAGTTGTTTGAGTTGATAATGCTAAAACTAATGCATCAACTTCACAACCCAGTAAATTTGCCGCATTAGCTACAGCTGTATGAATTTAGCAGTAAAATGAATGTCACACATACATGTAAAATATTAAAAAAATCTGCAAATATACATCAGAAGGAGAATCCTTAAGAACTTCTAATATTTAGTTAATCTAAAACAATGCTCTAATTATAGTAATCTGTTAATCTGCTCAGTAAATGCAGAGGATGATCTACTGACTAAGGCTTCATTTGGAACGGCTTTCTTACTGTATCATAAAGCAGTTTTTTATGATCAGTTCCTAAAAAACTGCTTAATGAAACAATAAAAAAGCCGTTCCAAACGAAACCTAAGTTTACTGTTAGGTTTCAGTCAATCAGGAATGAAAATATAAGTTTTATAAGCATTTATAAACCTAACTGTCAATAGCTTTGAGGGAAAACTTCAGCTTTTATTAATGAGTTCCAGGTCTGGGCAGCCAAAGGTAGATAGGATAAATTTTAATTAAAGTGGCGACAGCCAAAACTAAAAGGCGTTTGGACTCTTCTATGCATTTTCCATAATGCCCATTTCTGATGCAGGAACCCATGCAGTTCTAATCGAATGAGCATGTTATGCAACTCTTAGAAAATTTGTGTTTTGTCAACAAAATGCTCTTAGAAAATTTAATGTGTTTGGCTAAATTTACAATGTTGTCTGATCAAAACCCAACCACCCAAGGTCATCCGGAAGTAGTATGGAGCTGTCCATCGGTTCAAATGAGTTGACACAGCACGATGTAAAGAACATTTGATCATAATCTACCATTGAATTCACATATGATCATAATCATAAGGTACAACAATGACAGCCTTTTGGCTAAAATGTTTGTTGGATTCGTCTCGTCAAACTGCTTGATTGCAATAATAAATAAGTTAAAATTTTAATACATAATAGTAAATAATATTAAACTAAAAATTCATACAAAATATTTTTATTATAATTAAATTATTGTTTGATTAAATTTATTTTTTATTCATTAATTTTAATTAAATATATTTAATTTCTTTTTAATATAAATTTTAATAATTAAAATATATTTAATAAATAAGTAACATTAAATTTATCTAAATTTACTAATAAGTTATAATTAAAAAAAATAAGAAAAACAGTGTAAATAAAAAAAATAAAATTTATTTATTTTTTTAAAACATAATAAACATTTATATTTTTAAGGAAAAACATTATTTAAATTTTTATTTTCTTTAGAAACCATATTTTACGTTTTCTAAAATGTAAAATTGACTTGCATTTTCAGAAATTCAGAAAACGTAAAATTGATTTCTATTTTCTAAGAAAATGTTATTTTAAATCACGTTATTTGCTCCTATTTAAATTATATTTCATATTATGCTCCTTTTACTCATTTTCTTTATAAACCTACTCCAATTAAAAATTTTGCCTCCATCCAATAGATTTATAGTCATACAAAAAAGTTGATAATCAATAGTTAGAAATTCATGACTTCTAAACCAAATAAGATAATAAGCATAAACAATTCTTCGCGTTTACCTTCGTCGAGATTAACTTCCACCTGGTTCTTACTGGTGATTGTTGAAAAACAAATGTTACCCAACCACAACACTGCTGCGAGCATTGAAAATAAACTGTCTTGATCATCTTTAGTGATATGAACAGTATCTAAAGCTTCCTAGACAAGAAAAGCAAGTAAAGTAGGTAAAATGATAATCAGAATATCTCAATAAGAAACCATGGAAAGCAGCAAAAGAGTTAATGCAACAGCTGAGGACTCTAATATCACCATCAATAATTGAAATTTGCGGGAATCATCGATGTTTTCTATTGTCAAGCATCTGCTTTGCTTCAAGAACTCATATTCATTTGCCGCTTTAAGGTTCAACTTCTCTGCATGTAGAAATTGGGACGTCTTAGTAGTTGCGTAGCCTGTCTTTAATTTTTTTTATTTCAAATAAAGCGTAACTAGAAAAGCAAAACCTTGCAGGTTAATTTTTTTATTTCAAATAAAGTGTAACTAGGAAAACACAACCTTGCAGGTTTTAAAACATCGAATTTTAAGCAGAAAAATAGGAATTTAGGCAACAACAACAAAATCAAGCCTTTATCCTACTACGTGGGCTCGGCTGCATGAATCATTTTTCTCCATTGTGTCCTGCTAAGAATCAAATTCTTATTTAAATCTAATAAAGAAATGTCATTTCTAATATTTCTTAACCAAATTTTTTTAGGTCTACCTCTACCTTTCTTAACATAGGCCAAATCTAATGCATCTACTCTTCTAACATGGTCATCGGAAGGCCGCCGTTTTACATGCCCAAACCATCTAAGGCAACTCTCTCTAATCTTATCTAATCAAATTCTCATTTACAAAAATGGGAATTTAGGAAACCACTAAAAATTTTGGTTAATTAAACAAGCCAAAAGAAGTGGCTTTAATAATAGAAACCATAGAACATGATGTGACCAAATGTGATACAAGTTTGCTTGGAAATCACTTGGAAGTTTTTGCCATAGAGCCTGATCTACCATGCTAGCATTATGAATTTATTTTAACGTATAATGAAACATAAAATAAATTTATGCATGAGGATGATTTATTTGTGATAAATCCCACTCAAAATTGTCCAAGTTAGCGTATGCTGACCATGAAATAGAAACTTCAACAAAAAAAAAAAGCAATTGTATTAGATAATCTTGTAAAAGAAAATGATAGTTTACTATATCCAGAACCGGCAAATTTTATCAGATATTACTCAAGTGAAATGATAAAAGGTGCATGATCGAAATGTTTAAGCACAAAAAATTAGAGTTATAGCAACAGATGTGGCACACTTCTTCCCTCCTGAAATGCAAGAATATGAGAACTAAGGCTTAGTTTGGGACAACTTTCTTACTGCTTTTTAAAATAACTTTCTAGTGCAAAAATTTTAAATTCAAGAACTTTTTTACTAGAAAGTTGTTTTAAAAAGCAAGAAGAAAGCCGTCCCAAATGAAGCCTAAATCATTTTAAAGATGCTGCAAATTCATAGCCATATCACTTAAACAATCAACTAAGAAAAACAAATAATAAGATACTCACCTTTAAGACAAGGAGGAGCTCCTGCACATAATTGATAGAAAATATGGAATGATCTTTCCCCTACAGCTCTTTCAACAACCCTCGACTGTTCATAAAGACAACATTCTTATATTTTGGCATAACACAGCATGTAGGCTTAACTAGAAGATCACAATAGTACCTTTTCAAGTAGAACTTCTTAACGGAAAGTTTGTGTGGGAACATGACAGAAATTTAGGTCAGGATCTCCAAATATTAAATGACTATATCTAACGGATATCAGCATAAACTAATAAGAAAAACACTTACAAGTTTTGATCCTAGCACCACATATTTTTCCAGCTTCACTAAAATATATTTCATTAACTTTGCCCTGCAACATATCGGGGAGAAAAGATAACATACTTTGTTGGCATTCAAACTTCACATATTTCAAAGCAAATGAAGTTATATAGGTTTTTTAACTCACAAATCGACTAGAATTGCCATTTTTCAGTGTTTTTGCATTCCCAAAGGATTCTAGAATCACATTCTCCTTCAGAACCTCAAAATCAATAACATCACCACTCCCAATGGCAACTAAACGTTGCATAGCAAGTTTTGCTGTTTCGGTTTTCCCTGAGCAACTTTCACCACTGCACAATTTATCTTCACAATCATCAATTATAACTGATAACAATTACCATGAAAAGAAAGGACAAACCAAAAGTTAACTAAGAAAACAAAACTAATTACCTTATAATGATGGACTGATTTTTCCCACCTGCAAAAACCCATCAGCTAACACTATTATGACTTTTGAAGCAAGAATGAAGTTCGCACCATAGATGCATATCACTAAAAATAATTGTTTTATACCTCTCAAAATTTCATTTAAAGCCTGATCTACCACTGCAAATACGTGTGGATTTTCTCCAACAGAATTATTTGCCTGTAGTGACAAGTCTTTAAAAGGATTGATCGCAACTAAAACAGGACCTGCTTTGCTCTGAAAAATGCAACACGCAAATGAATTTCTGTGCATCAGAAGAAAAATACTGGTAAGTTAGTAAAAGAATAATTTTTTTAATAGTAACTCACATAGATCTTATCCTGAGAATATCTGCACTTAAGATTATGAAGAAATGAAGGTTCATTTATATAACTAAACAGTGCCAGATCATTCTCATTATCCTGGACCTCTGGATTTGCTGGCCAGATATTTTCAAAAGGCAACCTCAAAATCTATCAGCAAAATTGTGTCAAGCTTTAAGACCAGGGTTCATCACTGTACATCACTAGAATACATAACATCATGCAATATACTCACATTGCCAGTGGACATCAAAACATGAGCATCATTCACTGAAGCTGACTGAATTTTCCCACATTCCCATTTCCCCGCTGGAATCCAACACCAAACTCGAAGTTTCTGCAATAAATAGGATAAGCTTTTTTGAAATGCCAAGGACCGATCGCTTAAAACTAAATTATAAAGAAGAATCAAAATCACCAAACCAAGCTTGATGGAAACTCCAATAGTCAAACATTCAGTTGATATGTGAAATCAAATAAATAAGTTGAAATAATAAGCCTGATTAACTACATTACAAGAGTTAGTTTATTACAACAACAACAACAAGCCTTTATCCCACTATGTGGGGTGAGCTATGTGAATCCTTTTTCTCCATTGTGTATTCTTAAGGCTCAAATTCTCATCTAAATCTAATAAAGTAAGGTCAATTCTAATATTTTCTAACCAAGCCTTTTTAGGTCTACCTCTACATTTCTTAACACAAATCAAATATAATACATCTACTTTCCGAATCTAGTTATCAAAAGGCCGCCGTTTTATGTGACCAAACCATCTAAGGCAACTCTCTCTAATCTTATCTTCCACTGGAGCTACTCCAACCTTTTCACATATATTTCCATTTTGTATCCTGTCTTTAAGAGTAAAGCCACTCATTCCTAAGCATCCTCATCTCTACAACACTTAACTTAATATTATGCTTCTCTTTTAATGGTGTAACCCGGACATAAGGATTTTTTTCGTGAGGTGAGACATAAGCCTCAATGCATTTGAAGGCGTAAGACAAATCATTAAATAAATTAAAAAATGAAAAATATATATTTTGAGTAATCATTCTTATGAATTAATAAATAAGTAAAATCATAAGAAGTTGAGCTTCATTTCCTCCGAATAAACCATTTGAAAGTAAACCAAAAGTGCCACAGTATCATCATAAAAAGTCAAACAAGCACTTAATAATAACAATCCGTCTAAGAAAAATTATTAAATATAAATAAGAAGTCCAAAATAAGCTAATTATGACTTAAGACTCCAAATTCAAGCGTCTCCTCACTTCCGTCATTTAGAGTGTCTTCATTATAATTAACATCAAATGTGCTTCCGCGCCTACTCATCCTCACTCGTGTCAACATCCTTCTTGTAACATCCTCACAGTACGGCTTAACAGTACTGTAGAATGTAACAAGCATAAACATAACATTTTTATCATTAAACATCTAATACTTTTCATTCATTTGGAAAGTGATATAAAATATCAATTAATATTTCCATTACATCAACAGAAGCATCTAATAACCTAAAGTTTTATCAAAGCAATACTTATAGAGCCACTAATATAATTTCAAAGTACTATATCACTGAATTGATTACAAACATCAAATGTAGACTTTACAAATAAAAATAAATACTAGCATCAAATATAAAATAACTTGCAGATTAATTTGCAATGATTTGTTCCTTATTCTTTCCTATAATAACAGCTAGTAAGAAAGTTATTGGTGAGCTATGAGGCTCAATAAGCTTTGAAAATTAATTAATAGTTAAAATATAATAATTGTAATAAATCAAAACATTGAAATCATCAATGAATAAACTTACCTTTGTAAACATTATAAAATCATAATTAACATTAATCTTTACTTCTTCTGAAGTTTACACTAAATAAAAATTTTATTCTGTAAAAAATTTGACTACACTTTCATAACAATATTCAATGTAGCCCAGATAAACATGATATTATCTTCATTGAATTATATAGATATCCCTTTTGTCTAGTTATGAGTCCCTTTTGCCCCACCTGCTATGCATGCATAATATTCTTTAAGGTCATTTTTGCCCCACTTATAATATAGTCTCATACATGGGAATCATTTTGTCCTACCTCAACTTATAAGCAAATTTTAATTTAAATTGATATTCATTACACTTCCATATTCATAATTCTTAGTTTTCACATGCAATCATAATATTATATTTGTCATATGTTAAGAATAAAACTCCATTCCAAAATATTTCCAACTATAAAAATATTTAAATACTCATATTACACTTTACACTATTCCAAAATATTTCAAACTTTTATACTATGAGTATTTAAAGATTGTTATAGTTGACAATATTTTAGAATGAAGTTTTGTTCTTAGCATATAGCATACCCATTTCTTTATACAAATGGCATAATAAAAATAGCATTATGATTATATGTGAAAAGTAAGAACTCTGAATATGGGAAGTGTAGTGAATATCAATTTAAAGTAAAGTTTGGCTATAAAAGATGTATAACTTACATGTGTAGTTAGGACAAAGGTTCTCATGCATGAGACTATATTATAAGTGGAGGAAAAGAGGCCCTAGAAAATATTATACCTGCATAGTAGGTGGGGCAAAAGAGACCCCTAAAGAGATAAAATGGACTTCTATGTAATTCAATGGCAATAATGTCAGGTTTACCTATACTCCATTAAATATTGTTATAAACGAATAGATAAATCTTTTATAGACTAAAATTGATATTTAGTGTAAACTTCAGAATAAGTAAAGACTAATGTTAATTATGATTTTATGATGTTTTACAAGTAAGGGTAAGTTTATTAAATAATGATTTCAATATTTTGATTTATTATAATTATTATATTATAACTGTTAATTAATTTACAAAGCTTATTGAGACTCATAGCTCACTAGTATCTTTCCTACTGACTGTTATTACAGGAAAGATCAAGGAACAAATAGTTGTAGATTAATCTACAAGTTATTTCATATTTTATGCTAGTATTTATCTTTGTTTGTAAAGTCTACATTTGAGATAAGTAAATAGTTCAGTGATGTATTATTTTAAAATTGTATTAGTGACTCTGTAAGTATTATTTTGATAAATTTTAGGTTATTAGATGCTTCTATTGATGTAATTGAAATATCAATTAATATTTTATATCACTTTTCAAATGAATAAAAAGTATTAGATGTTTAATGATAAAAATGTTATGTTTATGCTTGTTACACTCTACAGTACTATTATGGGGTATTATGGGGTGTTAGAAAAGTAGTATCAGAGCAAAGATTTAAGGTAACGATGATTTAATTATGCAAGCATAAGCAAAATGAATTGTCTAAGAGAATAAAATTGAATTTGATGGAATTATTATAAAGCCTAGGAGAGTGTAGTGTTTCTATGTTTGTAATAACTCTAACTTTATCCGGTTTGTATTTAAGCATATGAAAATAACATTTAAATAGGAGTACATGATTATATAAATGTCATAATTATTAATGTAATACATTGCAGATATAATGGCTGAAAGAATATTTGAAGGGAATGATGGTTAGTCATCTCAGCCTGATAGGATAACTGAGGATCCTGAAAATGTTGCACCAGTAGAAGGCAGTGCACCAAGTGTAGACCATGCACCAGTAGGAGTTGATGTTGCTAATGTAATGTCAAGGAATTTAATGCAACATTTTCAAGAGCATGATGATGCTGCTAATGTAATGTCAAGGAGCTGATGATGAGTATGATGATGCAGATGATGGAAAGGATGCAATCTATGGTAGGATCTGCAATACCTAGGGTTCTACCTATTATTACGCCAGTCACTCCTACCACTCCTCGTAGTAGTGCAAATGCTAAGGCAGGTAACCTTGTGGGAGCAGAATTGGATAAGCATCTAAAGCTTTCTAGAGTCTAAAAACATCATTGTTTAAAGATGGAGTTGATGCCAGAAATGCAGAAGATTGGATTATCATGATTGAGAAAATTTTGAATGGAATGAGATGTCTTGAGAGCTGACGTATGTCCATAGCAATCTTTATGTTAGAAGGTGAAGCAGAAAGGTAGTGGGGGACAACATCTAGAAAAATTCAAAGGAAGAGAAGAGGATCAAATTACTTGGTAGGAATTTGAGCAAATCTTGAGAGAGTGGTATGTTCCTCCATCAGCAAGACATATACCGAAAAGTTTTGTAAATCTAAAGCAAGGAGCCAAGGCTGTTATTCAGTATGAAGTTACATCTCTATTAAGGTATGCTCCCAAAGGAACAACTAATTTGATGTAGGATGACCCAAAGGAACAACTAATCAAGATACCAAAATAAGTTCAATATGGGTGTATGTCTTCTATATTTTGAAGATGGAATGATATTAAAAATAAATTAAATGACCTCAAAATCTCTAGTATTAATAAGGAAACATGATATTCAGGTTAAATTTTGTTGAAATTAGCTGTTATCTTGTTAAATAAAAAATTAAAATATGTTTGAGCTACTTATTAAAGAGCATAAATTTAGCATTCATCACAAGAACAATCATGGAATTGGGAAAAATTGGGTTATAATTTGATTCCGATGAGAACCATTTCAAATGAATTAAGTTAGATTCCTTTGGCCCTCCAAATGTAAAACTTGCTCAGGCACTCAGAAAAAGCATTGTTACCATTGAATTCTACATTGTGCATTGCATTGATTGCTCCGATTCACTAGAAACACTAGAAATTGGAAGACTTAACAAGAACCATACATAAACTCCAGAAAACTGTTATCAATTTTATTACTTCTGCAAACCGAAGGATATCAAGATATATAATTTTATGTGGGAAAAAAACAAACGAAGAAAAGTTAGCAAGATTTTTATGAGCTTGACTACCTTGTTTAAGAAATAATCAATAGCTTCAGCGGACTTGAGTTGGCCACCCAGGTTAATGGCCAACGAGGAGGATGTGCATTTGTGGTCCACAGGGTCATCTACTTCCGGCCTTTCCCCATAGCTCTCTAGGCCCGGCATCCTAATATCTGGAACCTTCTCCACGCATCCAAAGATCCCGCCTTTTTGAAAACTCTCCTCCTTCACTTCCGCTCTTCTCTCAGACAAGCCCAGATTGATCTCCTGTCCGTTACTTTTAAGAGCGATATTAACAGGAAACGACTTCCTAGAAGATGGCAGACGGCCTCTCGAGGTCGGCCGTGTTGGTAATGCCGGAGGCAGATCCTTCTGCTGTTCATCCTTCCTTCTGATTGCGTCCAGCATCACCTCCAGCGAGCTCCGAGCGCTCGCAGACCCCATCGCCTCTGCAAAAAGCATCATTTTGAAGTCCAAATCTCAAACTTGCTCTAAAGATCGTCGACACGGAGCTCACTGATAAAAGAAATCCAGCCCCCTCATCTGCGATCCCAAGAAAACTCCATTGAAACCGCAAAAGCCTCGCAAATCGGAACCCGGTGCACTAAACTCAAGAAGATAGAGATTTCAGAGAACGAGGGAGTGATGGAAAACAGGGAGACGGAAAGGAAGTGTGCAAAACGTAGATTATGCAAAGAATTAGCTCTGTGCCTCCGCACGAACAGACAATAAACTCTTATTCCAATTTGAATCGCCCGTTGGGCATGTGCAGATGGAGAAAAGCGCTACCTTGGAAGGAAAACTACTCTAGGGTTTGCTTCAAAAGACAAAAATTCAAAATTCTGCAAGTGGAACCCACGGCGTTATGTAAGTTCTTAGCTTCTTTTAATACGCTTTAACAAACAAAAAGGCAAAAGGAAAGATGCCATTTGCATTTACACCCCTAGAAGCTTGCTTGCTCTGTTGCTTGTGGAATCAAAGTTCTGAATTTTCCTAAATGACGATGAGCTTAAATCGAATTAGGAATATACGGTGGGTATTAATGAGAAAGATGGATAAGTCCAATGGTTCCGGTTGTTGGAGAGTGGTAGTGACGCCATTAAATATTTAAGACGTGGTAAGGCCTATGAGTTGCAGCTCAACGGATATATGAAAGTGACGTGCTACCCGGCGCTGCTTTACCGGGCAGATTTTGAAAACAAAATATATTTCCGTTTTTCCATTTATAGCAGAATTTTGGATAAGGTGAACTTTGTTTGGGTTTTTTTTTTTTAATTAGAGAGTTAATTATGAATCGGTTTAAATTTAGTAATGAAATGAAAGTAAATTATTCATATTTGATTATTAGGGTTAAATGTTAAAAAAATCTGAATTTTGAGCGTTAAGGTATTTGATGAAGTAAACTAAATATAAAATAATTTTAAAAATTTTAGAATATCTCAAAAGATTTATTTTGAATGATTTTAGAATTCGCCTCATTAGATAAACTTCATTCGAATTCATTTACTATCACGTCCATCATCAAGTAAGTTCAGCTCAAATCAATTTACCTCGTCAATAATGCGACTATGTGCCCCACATTTGCATTACCGTCACTCATGCATTGGCCTTTGATGTCGTCTCCACTTATTTATTATTATCTGTATATCCGTCGTGGTATGGTGTTTAAATCATGCTAGAAGATAGAAAATAACAAAATATTTGGTAGACGAAATAAATCTCGAATTCCAATGTGTTGCCACTTCGATCTTTTGTATTTACATTTCTCAGCTTTGATAGACCAGTAGACCACAACAATTCGCCCTAATCAAGTCAGGTTCTAATTGCCTAGCACCCCATGAGATTACTAAATACTAATAGGTTGTTGTACCCCATTAGGATTCAAAGAAAATTTAAGATATTTTCTCCAATATGGGTTGTATGTATAAGAGTAAGGATTGTTGGGTTATTTGTGTTTTCTCATAAATGCTCTTGCTCCAAGTATGGTTGAGCAATTTTTTTACATTCATTTCATCCATGAGGCCCTCTAAATAATTTACAGCTCATTTGAACAGCATTAACAATAATGTATTGAGTTCTTTTTTATATAAGAGAAGCAATATGAGTAATAAGAGCTAAAATTTGGTATTCATCTTGCATTACAACTACTGTCTTCTTTGGAATTCTCTCACCACCTAACCACTTATAATTAGTCATGATCATCTCCTCTAACAAATCATATGCTTCCTAATGTGTCTAGCTTATGAATGAGCCACCAGATGAAGCTTCTATTAAGATTCAAGTAGCTCCAGTTAATGTATTGTAGAAGGTCTACACTAATATCCACTTAGGCAGCCATGAACAAACACTCACTCAAAATATCAGTGTATTAATACTAAGCATCATAGAGCATTGCACCTTCCAATTACATACATTTTAATATCTTTATCCACAACCTTGCAGTCTTTACTAGTGGGAAATACTTGGGTAGGAATTTTTTTGACAAATCATCCCAAGTATTGATGAAACCCTAGTTAAAGAGTTGAGCTAACTGTCGTCGGAATTACGCTCGACCACCAACTGATACCAGATTTACGCCCAACCACCGTCTGTCTCTATACTTTCGTCAGACTTATGTTTAACCACCAAGTGTTGCCGGACTTACGCCCGACCACCTATTGTCTTCTGATTTTCTCTCGACCATCATCGCCGACTTTGGTCTTCTTAACCTCCGTCACCTGCCAATTACAGTCTTTCCGACCTCTGTCGCCAAACTACAGTCTTTCTGGCCTCCATCATCCGCCGACTATGGTCCTTCCACCTTTGTCGTCAAACTACGACCTTTCCGACATCCGTCACCAGATAACAGTCTTTCCGACCTTCTTCGCCAGACTACTGTCTTTTTAACCTCCTTCGCCATCCAACTACGATCCTTCCGACCTAACTACAGTCCTTCCGACCTACATTGCCTGACAACGGTCTTTCCAACCTCTATCGCTCGCCGATTACGATCCTTTCTACCACACATCACTCGACTGCGGTCTGTCTGACCTCCGTTATCCGCCGACTATGATCCTGCCGACCAAACAAACATGTCAGTATTGATTTTTCCAATTCCTACCATGCAATGCACTCCATATGATGTATATTTGCTACATCAAGCCAAGGCCTTCCCCCAAGGAATAGCCTCATTTGTAATCAATTGCAAATGCTAGTAGATTCATTCAAATTGAGCCAAGCCTCGTGCCCCGTGATTTTTCCCCATTTTTAGGGGTTTTCACTAAAAACTATGGTGTCTCTTATGAATGCTGCACCATTCTCTTTTATCTTAAATTTTATATTTCTCTATCGTCGCAAATATTCCAAGACACAACAATTAGTATAATCTACCGTCACCTTCGAGGTAAATTTAATTAATAAATATAAATGAAGATGCATGTGCATAGTACTAAAAATAAACTTAATTTTATGCTTGTGAGATTAGAGATAATTTTATCTTTTAATTAATATTTAAAAGTTTTTAATCACTTTTTAAGTGTTTGATTTGTGCTCATTTGCTCATGTTTTTTTAAATATAAAAATAAAAACTTGTTGTTTTTAATATACCAAAGATGTTTTATTTCTTATAAAAATTATATCAAATAAATAAAAATAAAAAATAGAGTAATCCCAAATGGCCCTTAAGATTAATATTTAAAGTTTAAATCTTATTTTTAATTTTATTATGTGTTGAAAAATTAGTGGTGAAAATAGCACCTTTTAAGCTTGCATAATGAGTCTACATACGTACAAAATAAAAGCGACAAAGTTGCATTGATTTAATGAAAGCAAATCTTTTTTACGTGAAAAATTCATAGAGTAAACAAAAAAATCAAATGGTTAGATCTAAAGTTTAAATTTGTTGTTACAGACATTTATCCGTATTTATAATTAGAGAATGTGACATTACAATATACTACTTGAATATTTTCTCTTTAGAAAGCAATATTAGAAGGTGGCAGCACTGAAAAACATAAGATGAGCAATGTTTGATGATGTCGGCAAAGGGTGATTGATAGGAACATCTTAACTAAAAATTGTCTTAGAAATAGAATATCATTTGCTACATATTTTTTAGAACTTTCTAGTGATTTATATTGCTATGTTATATATAAAATATTTGTAAGGAAGATATGATATATGAAATATATTTTTATAATGATTTCTTGCATCAGTTGATATCAGAGTTTAAAGTCGAGAAGAATGGTGGATTTCAAAGCTAGGTCCACTCAACGCCGACAATCAGAGGAGAAATTCTGACTGCATATATCAGCCAGCAATCATATCGATTGTTCGAACCTGCCCACCGTTGGCAATCATGCAAGCAAAATAGATCTCCCCATTCATGGCAACCATACCGGCAAATCGACGTCCTCCGCTCATGCATGTCACCAGCTTCGCCATTTACTGCTATGTGCGATCTGTAACGTGAATCGCCTGTAGCTCCCCTCTGCTCCAGGATGCGACTAGCTCCATCTTCACTCTTGTGCGACCCATGGTCTGACCTGTATGTGGTTCTCTTCCATTACAGCCAGAGATTGTGGACCCACAATCCACGCCCGTTGTGACATCTCTAGGTTCAACATTCAGTTTTGTTTGTTCTAACTCGACTTGAAAAAGGTCAAGATTTGAAAATTTTAGTTTTAAATTTATTTACATGTTTTTGGGAGTGTTTTAATACTTAAAAATGATTGTATGTATTATAGAATGAGCCCCGTGTTTAGAGTAATTTTTTTCAAAAAATAAAAATTTTACTTTTGAAGCACCCCAATGATGGGTGTCTAAGTGTTACAGCGCTCCACTTAGTCAAGGTGTCAAATAGTGACATTATCCCAGCCGTGAGGAGAGAGAAATATCGCCCCCCCCCCCCCCCTTTTGAACTAGCGTCACAGCGCTGAATGGTTGCACCACAGCGCTAGACTACTAACAACACTTTAAATATATTTTAAAATCATGGTTCGATTCACTCGATCAACCGCAACCAGCCGTGAGGAGAGAGAAAGAGAGAGATTTAGAGAGGGAAAATTAAAGTAAAATTTTTAGTTGCTTCGGCTCATTTTTAATCATCGGCCCAGTTGAAAAAATTGTTTGGATCGCAATAGATCACATTATGTCTATCTCAGTTTTAAAAAATATGAAGTCATTTTTTAATTTTCTGATTAAATTTATATTTTCATTATCGAAAAAATGAGAATAACTTTGCTCTGAAAAAACTTTTACCTCGTAACTTTTTATATATTATAGAGACTGAAATTACGAACATTCTGAATATTTTTTAACAAAATTTTTTTGAGTTTTTTTTTTAAAAAAGTTGTGCCATTTTTTATCGAGTATGAAATAATCTAGACTCTTAAAAATGGTGTTATAGTACAATTAAAGTCTTAAAATAGTATTTTACATAATCCTTGATAATTTGGTTATATTTTGAAACAGTAAAATTTAATTCAATATAAATTTTTATTGCCTATCATTATAGAAAATTGTACAATTTTGACATCTACTTAATTATGCTTTAAGTGTTATAGTGTGAGGAAATATGTGTATATGTGACTGAATTATGACTACTGGGAGATATAAGAGGTCACAATCATTCGAGATTCTGCCTATATATGTGAATATTCTAGTGCATATAAGGCATGTTCTAGTGGCTATGAGCTATGTACTCTGATGCTATAAGTACAAAAATGGATATATAAGATGTCAGAATCTTTTGAGATTCTATTTGGGTGCGAGAAAAAAGAAAAATGAAAAATGATATGAATTATTATGGGATATAAATTTATATTTAATATTATGTCGAGAAAAATGCTATGCTTTACCACTATTCTCAGTATAATGATCTTTTATATTGCATTTAACTATTTTTAAATATTCTAAAAAATATTTAATAAACGAATTAAAAAATTTAGATCAATTTGTGTGGCCTACTTAGATGTTATAGCTTACTGTGATTTTGCTTCTGATTTTCAAGTTTTGGGAAAGAGAAGGA